GTTTAGGAGATATCGAAGGTTAAAGTTTTCCAAGCTTTCTCCGTTGATATCTCCGCTTCTACTGGGAGTAGAGAGTCGTCACTTACGGCAAAATGTAGGGTTTTGAGAGGACTTTAATTTGGTGCCAGAACCAGGCCTGTATCTCTAACCGTTTAGGAGATATCGAAGGTTAAAGTTTTCCAAGCTTTCTCCGTTGATATCTCCGCTTCTACTGGGAGTAGAGAGTCGTCACTTACGGCAAAATGTAGGGTTTTGAGAGGACTTTAATTTGGTGCCAGAACCAGGCCTGTATCTCTAACCGTTTAGGAGATATCGAAGGTTAAAGTTTTCCAAGCTTTCTCCGTTGATATCTCCGCTTCTACTGGGAGTAGAGAGTCGTCACTTACGGCAAAATGTAGGGTTTTGAGAGGACTTTAATTTGGTGCCAGAACCAGGCCTGTATCTCTAACCGTTTAGGAGATATCGAAGGTTAAAGTTTTCCAAGCTTTCTCCGTTGATATCTCCGCTTCTACTGGGAGTAGAGAGTCGTCACTTACGGCAAAATGTAGGGTTTTGAGAGGACTTTAATTTGGTGCCAGAACCAGGCCTGTATCTCTAACCGTTTAGGAGATATCGAAGGTTAAAGTTTTCCAAGCTTTCTCCGTTGATATCTCCGCTTCTACTGGGAGTAGAGAGTCGTCACTTACGGCAAAATGTAGGGTTTTGAGAGGACTTTAATTTGGTGCCAGAACCAGGCCTGTATCTCTAACCGTTTAGGAGATATCGAAGGTTAAAGTTTTCCAAGCTTTCTCCGTTGATATCTCCGCTTCTACTGGGAGTAGAGAGTCGTCACTTACGGCAAAATGTAGGGTTTTGAGAGGACTTTAATTTGGTGCCAGAACCAGGCCTGTATCTCTAACCGTTTAGGAGATATCGAAGGTTAAAGTTTTCCAAGCTTTCTCCGTTAATATCTCCGCTTCTACTGGGAGTAGAGAGTCGTCACTTACGGCAAAATGTAGGGTTTTGAGAGGACTTTAATTTGGTGCCAGAACCAGGCCTGTATCTCTAACCGTTTAGGAGATATCGAAGGTTAAAGTTTTCCAACCTTTCTCCGTTGATATCTCCGCTTCTACTGGGAGTAGAGAGTCGCCATTTCCGGCAAAATGTAGGGTTTTGAAAGGACTTTAATTTGGTACCAGAGCCAGGCCTGTATCTCTAACCGTTTGGGAGATATCGAAGGTTAAAGTTTTCCAGCCATTCTCCGTCGATATCCAGCCTTCCTCCGTCGATATCTCCGTTTCTACTGGGAGTAGAGAGTCGTCCATGCAGTCGAAAATGTAGGGTTTTGAGAGGACTTTAATTTGGTACCAGAGCCAGGCCTGTATCTCTAACCGTTTAGGAGATATCGAAGGTTAAAGTTTTCCAACCTTTCTCCGTTGATATCTCCGCTTCCACTGGGAGTAGAGAGTCGCCATTTACGGCAAAATGTAGGGTTTTGAAAGGACTTTAATTTGGTACCAGAGCCAGGCCTGTATCTCTAACCGTTTAGGAGATATCGAAAGTTAAAGTTTTCCAGCCATTCTCCGTCGATATCCAGCATTCCTCCGTCGATATCTCCGCTTGTACTGGGAGTAGAGAATCGTTCATGTAGTCGAAAATGTAGGGTTTTGGGAGGACTTTAATTTGGTGCCAGAACCAGGCCTGTATCTCTAACCGTTTAGGAGATATCGAAGGTTAAAGTTTTCCAACCTTTCTCCGTCGATATCCAGCATTCCTCCGTCGATATCTCCGCTTCTACTGGGAGTAGAGAGTCGCCATTTACGGCAAAATGTAGGGTTTTGAAAGGACTTTAATTTGGTACCAGAGCCAGGCCTGTATCTCTAACCGTTTAGGAGATATCGAAGGTTAAAGATTTCCAGCCATTCTCCGTCGATATCCAGCCTTCCTCCGTCGATATCTCCGTTTCTACTGGGAGTAGAGAGTCGTCCATGTAGTCGAAAATGTAGAGTTTTGAGAGGACTTTAATTTGGTGCCAGAACCTGGCCTGGTTTTAATTACAAAAATATGAATAATTTATCAAATTAACCAAAGCTATTGGTTATTATGCATAATAACCGGTTATTATGCATAGTAACTGGATTTATCACTTTATCCGTAACATATACAACAACAGAATAAATAGATAGACAGACAGAGATTGACGAGAGTAATTGCAAATTCATAAAGTGATGATTACTAGTCGAATGATGACGGACTGTGAATGCCGAGCGCGAAATTCCGACTTCTTATTGCTGGAAAATTCGTCAAACGTCCGCTCTCATTATCGGAGACCTCCCGCATAATAAATGATTCCACATACCTGGAAACGTGACGTATCGCTGCCGGCGTCCCGCTTCCCGGCTGCTGGAGTCCTTCGGATTTCACTCACTCACGCTTCTAACACTGAATACTCGCGAGTCGACTGTGCGGTTAATCAACGTGATGCCGACGCGATGCAGATTGAATATCTCGAGGACCGACGAGACATATTTCTTTCAATTATACGAGAGGAAATGACGAGCGCGTCGTGCACGGCTGCTGCTGATGGAAAGAGGTCGAGTACGCGAGGCACGCGAGTATTAATACAAAGGGCAAAAAGTGTCGTCGCTCACGAGCCGATCAACACAATCGGCGCGATGTAAACATTGCGGGCCTCGGCGGTTGTTGAAGCAAGATACTTGCCCTTGGGTGTCTCTTCTTTTCTCGAAGGTTCCAGAACGACGAGAGGAATGCGAAGAGGCCTTTCAACTGTACGCGACATTGATTTACTACTTATTGATTACTGAAAATAAAGAAAATTATTCTGTCGAAGCATCGGATATTTGTTAGCTTTATGTTAATTAAAGAGAAATGTGTACGATTAGAAAATATGTTAGCAACTAATTGTACAGAATGTTAAAGTTGTTGTAACGCCGTTTTCGGAGAATAATTAAAGGTCATGGTAGCGTTAAAGAGTGGAATTTCATTTCATGCGAATTTTGTCTCGTTCTTATTAAATGTTAGATTATCCGCTGCGGACAATAACTCTTCTACTTTTCATCTAATATTCAATGATAATAAATAACATTTAATTGCATTCGTTTGGCTTTTTTTATTTTGAAAATAAAAAAATATATACCAGGTTGAGATTCACCCATGACAACATCAACGTGATTTTCTTTGATGCTTTTTTCAAAAGTTCAAGTATTTCGTCGACTCGCGGGATATTTATAATCGGAGTCTCGTCACGTTAATTAACATGTGCTCCTCCGAGCGGATCGAATGCTCACCGACGGCCACTGTCAGTACCACGAGCGAATGTCCGAAGCGGACGGGATGCTGAATTGAGAAGCAGGACAAAGGGAATGGGACGCGGGCAACGATACATCATGTGTCTCCAGACGTATCAAATCGTTAATTATATAGGAGACTTTGATACGGCAACATGTATGTAGAGGATTTAATATTTTATACGTATTTTTATTTTTCCTGCTCCCCCCCCCCCCGCTCTTTTTAGACGTCCTGGCATAGTCTGGCATAGAGATAGTAACTATGATTGCAGCACGGACATAAACCGCCTAAAAGTGAATGTAGCACGGACTTCCACCACATGCAGATTTTACCACCAAGACCCAAAAGTGGATGTAGCATCGTAGTTCTCCTCTCAAAATGGATGCAAACGGCGCCCATTCTCAGTGCGAAAAATCGATGTCGCCGAAAACGCCGTGTTGGCTGCTCTCAGGTTCCTCTCTGGTGTGAGGCAGACCTTAGCAGCATGAGAGATCCGATAGAGGCGTGGCGATCGGTGCATTCTGGTGGTGGTGATCACAAAAATAAAACTAGTAGTGCCATCTATGAATCATTTTCAGAAGCTTAAAACCATCGATAGTCTATAATGCTAATGGAGCTAGAGGATCTCGAGAGTGTGCGCTCAAATTAGGTGTATAACTGAACCGTGACTCTCTTCAATAATTCAACTTTTTTTGGCATTTTCAAATTTTTCCTCCACATAAAACTTTTTGAATATCAATCTTAACATCCTAAGGGACCATTTGAGCCAAAAAAATTTTTTTTAATTTTTTCAAAGTGATAAGGTGATATTATCCCTTAAATAGCGTAACTCTCTACCACCTTATTATTTAATCTTTTCGTTTTTTTACATATCATTGGCGAATTATTTGCATGTAAAAAAGAAGCGTTATATTCTGTCGCGTAATTGTCACTGCGACGGAATTCCGGTGCGTGCATGGGTGTGTAGAGAACGAAGTAACCAGCGAATTGTTTTGCTTCTTTTATTGTTGATCGTAAGCGTACACAGATTAAGGCCCAGTTCCACAACTTGCTTTAAACGGAGTTTAAAGCAAGTTGTGGAACTGGGCCTAATAAGAGCTGAAACAAAAACCTGGAAAATTGCTGAGATCAAAAACCTGGAGGTTCCAAACCTCAATATTAAAGGATAAAGAACTATCAATAGCCGAGAGATTCCTTTTGCCGCTAGGGCCGTATGATTGTTGAGACCAGAGCGAGCCGTAAAGGTCTGAGCCGAGAGGCTCCTTTTTGTCGAAAAGGCTGTATGGTCGTTGAGACTAGAGCGAGCTGTAAAGGTCTGAGCCGAGAAGTTCTTTTTACCGCAAGGGCCGTATGTCTGGTCGCCGGATAGTTCCAAGCTGATGTCGAAAGTAAGGTCTTCTAAAATTCTTTGAGTATCTTCCAAAAATATCCGATCAGCAGAAAGTCAGGAAAGAGGGGGCGAGTGAGTGTACGTATGTGTGTATACTCAGCGCATCCGTGCGATCGCCCTTTTATTACCTCGGTCTCCTCCTCGATATTCCTCAATCGAATTTCTCATGCGAGAAAGCGTCACTGCACTGAGACACTCAGCGCCACTTTTGGGAACCAAGGGGGCCTACGCGCCTATATTAATAAGCGCCTATATTCATAATATACTTTCATAAATATCTTTGTTTTATTTTGTTAAAGGAAAGCATTTATTAAACGTCTAATTTGGGTTTTTACAAATTCTATTCTATTACATTAAAAAATATATATTACATAAGGATTCATCAATGCTGATATAAGAAAACGCATCTAACTCTATATAGTGTTAAACTATGTTCTTAAATTGTATTTTTGTGATTATAGAACTTATTGTAGGATGCGAAGATGTGTTGTAAATGAATATTGTTAAATAGATGTTACAGATATACAAAAAAAAACAATAGCTCGCACCCAATATAATAAAAAATGTATCTTATATTAAATTGTTTATTTTGTTCCGATTTTTCTTTTATATAACTACGCGACATCAATATCTGTGTTTTCACTTTCAACATTTTCAGTTGGATCTTCTCCTAAATCAGAATCTATAATTTCAGATGATCCATTTGCTAATTCTCCCGAAATTACACTTTCATCTGGTATAGTAGTTTCTTCCGTTGATGTCTATAAGTATAAAAAATTATATTTTTAAACTTCGCTTTTATTTATTTTTATTATCAATATAAATCAATAAATAAATGTATATAGGGTGTCTCATTTTAATTTCTCACCCTAAATAACTCTTCAGTATTGAAGTTTCGAGGAAAATGATCTGAATAAAAGTTGTAGGGATTTAAGTGATTTACCTTATGATGACCTTGACATTGACCTTGACCTATATTTTCAAAGTCATTTGAAGGTCAACTTGCGTTTTTCAAATGGGAACTCTTATTTTTTATTATACTGTTTTTTTCTACTAGTTAATTTGAACTTTTGTCTAAAACATTTTTTTATTTGTCTAATATTTCTTTAGATATTTGTGGAAAACTTGATAACTTTTTCAATATTTAACTTACGATATCTCGCTAACTATTTATCGGAAGAAAAAGTGGTACTAGACTTTTTTACTCCACCTAGTCTCAAGAACATTGTTACAATAGCGCCTTGCTTTTTGTTAATTTAATGATTTTGGAATTTTCAAAGGCGCTCTGTGTAGCAATTGTGCGCATATACATATATATGTGATGCATGCACCGTTATTATGTGCACATGTGCATACAATATATATACGTAAAACATACCTAATACATAATATTATTAAAACATAATGTGATAATTACTTGCGACAGAATTTCATGTCCATCTAAATTCTTGTTAACAAGGTTGCCCATCCAAAATGCTGCTGCGCTGTCATTGAGTACTAACATTCCTTTAACACTATATATTAATTTCTCTAACATAGATTTCGCCGCAGGAACATACTTGGTTAGTATTAAATCTTTCTTTTCTGTGCTATCACAACATATAGCATGTAAGTAACGCGTACCACCTAAATACGATTTTATATAAATTAGAAAAAGATACTATATTTATTATTAAATATAAGCTATATTTATAATTTGTGAGCAATATTTTAATAGAATATTTTAATGATAGTATGTTTTAGAATATTTTAAAATATTTTAACAATAGAATCTGTGATAAATAGAAATTAATTTTTCTTAGCATAAATGATTAATTTTTTCTCAACGTATAACAATATACCATAATGCATTTTCAAAAAAATTAAATATCAACGATTATTCTAAGGTTTTATTACATTATGTTTATCATATTGGTTAAGTTAAACAAATTGCTATAATTTGCTATGTCAAACACACTAATTTGATATTTTGATTCTTTTTAACTTATTTCTTTTTATCTGCGTATTTCCACAACGTGGAAATGCGCTCAACCGTGTTCTTTTGCTATGAAAGTTTGAATCACGTGTGCAAAATGCGCAAAGGCTTTTTGTTTTACCTGATACTACATCATAAAATGTACCGTGAAATGTCAATTATATAGCAAAACAAGCAAAACAGCAACAAAACATGTATGTCAACTATATGGAACTATTCTAATATCAACATGTGAATGCTAAATAGATAAAATTCGCACGAATTTATAAATCAACCTAATATATCTTAGAAAGTGATTATCTCCTACCTTGCATCATTTTTAGAATACTAGTTATATCATCTGTTTGATATTTCAAATTATGTTCGAGTATCGGCATACCAAGATTTAAAAATTGTTTTATTAACTGAGGCATATATCGGAGAAACAATTGTATGTTAGCTTTTGTTTTCAATGTCTTGCAAATCTGCACAAGTTTTTGGACATTTGAAGCAACAATGTACCATATCTTTATCTTCTTTGGATCTCTAAAAAAAGAAGAAAAACAAATAACTTTTTGAACAATAAATTTTATGAAAAAGTATTCATAGTAACAAATCATCGGTATACATGGTATCCTATTTTAAAAAACGCACCTCGATTCTTCAACAAAGCATTTTCAGCAAAAATGTTTCGGACAAAAGTTGTATGATTTCAAGGGGGACGTAAAACAACTATACTGTTTTGTTTACAAATGGTACCACTTTCGAGATATTCATTGATCATTACTTTTCTTAAATGAAAAACCCAACTTTTTATTACACCATCTTTATTACCAATTAATTTAAACAACTTTTACCTGAAACATTTTTTTTATTTCCCTAATATTTTTTGAGATATTTAAAGAAAACTTGATAATACCAATATTCCAATATTTAACTTACGATATCTCGCTATTTGTCGAAAGAAAAAGTGGTACTAGACTTTTGATCTCAAGAATATATTGTTATAATAGCGCCCTGACTTTTGTTAATTTGATGATTTTGAAATTTCCAAAAATCAGTAAGTACATTTATAGTAAGTGTGAATGGTTTAGGAGAAGGGTAAATTCTGTATAAGCTCAATTCGGAAAAAAAGCAGAGATTTAGTGCATGTCCTTGCTAACTTAATTTAAAATAAGTGATATTTTGCATAAAATGATCACGAGTAATGAAAAACACGTGTTGTACAACAACTTTAAACACAAAAAGTCTTGGATAGATTCCGGTCAGTCATCAATATCGACTCCGAAGTCTAATATTTATACCAAGAAGATCTTACTGTATATTTGAATTATAAAAGATAAAATATAAAAGTTGTGTACGATGAGTTGTTGAATTCTAACCAAATTGTTAGTGCAAGTTACCAACAGTAATTCATCCATTTGAGTGACATATTGGAATAAAAAGGATCATAAACTGACTAGAAATCTAAATAAGTCAATTTATAATAGCCTTTAAAATCAATTTACAAACTTTTAATATTTTAATATTTTAATCAATCAAATAAAATCAAATTTTAATAAATAAATAATCTTTTAATATTTTGTAACTATACTTACGAATTAGCTGTCAACAATGATATATTGATACCTTTAATTAAACTATCAAATAACCTCTTATATAATAGATGGAAGCTATTCTTATTTATAGAAGGCATCGTTGTTAAAGTATTCTGAATATTTTCCAGATTGGAAACTTCCTCTGGTAACCATTCCATAATTAATGTTACTGCATGAAAAGGTGATGGTTCATTATTCATCCAATTATCCAATAATTGAATAATACATAATTTGTATTGAGAAGTAATATGTCTACTTCCTGCCCATTCCAGACAAAGAAATCCATATGCTAATTTTGCTAAAACAGAATTAACATAACAATATAATAATATAAATAAAAATAAATTTGTATATATATATAACATATATATATTTATATATGTTTTATACAATATATTATATAAAAATATATTTTATTAATATAAAAATATTAATTATATACGTACTGTGGCATTTTATATACACATACAAAATATAAACTTAAGGACGTTACAAACTAATATTCTAAAACTGAGATAGAATTTTCTTTTCATTTTATTCATTGTAAAAATGAATTCTTTTAATATTTTTTTAATTTTTTGTATATTAATTCATTATAACTTAACTAACGCAAAAAAATGGAACGTCACGTTCAAAAATTTTAAAAGGAAAAACATAATACATAGCACATAAATTAAATCTATGATAAACTGAATAACTTTTATTTGAGCAATTATTCCAAATAATATATTCATTGAAAGCTACAACTAGTTAAAAATATTATAAGCACGTAGTTTAATGCATCTTATGAAAAAAAAACAAACTATTTATTAATTTATTAATATCCAAAAGAATAATTCACAAAATTATTTATGTCAAAAAATAACAATGCATTATATTTCATGTAAATATTAGACATTAGCAGATTTTATTTTACCACGATTGCTGATTTAAATTACATTTTGTTTACAAATAACACCACTTTCGATCTATTCACTGATCATTACTTTTCTTAAATGAAAAATCCAATTTTTTATTACACCGTCTTTTTCTATCAATTAATTTAAACAATTTTTGTCTAAAACATTTTTTATTCGCCTAGTATTTTTTGAGATATTTGAGGAAAACTGAATAACTTTTTTAATATTTAACTTACGATCTCGCTATTTATCAGAAGAAAAAGTAGTACTAGACTTTTTTGCTCTACTTGGTCTCAAGAATATATTGTTATAATAGCGTCCTGACTTTTATTAATTTGATGATTTTTAAACTTCCAAAAGTCAGTAAGTTAACAAAAGTCAGGGCGCTATTATAACAATATATTCTTGAGATTAAATAGAGCAGAAATATCTAATGCCACTTTTTCTTCTGAGAAATAGTTAGGGAAATATCGTGAGTTAAATATTGAAAAAGTTATCAAGTTTTCCTCAAATATCTCATAAAATATTAGACAAATAAAAAAATGTTTTAGACAAAAATGGTTCGAATTAACTAGTAGAAAAAAAACAGTGTAATAAAAAATAAAGGTTCCCATTAAAAAAACTCAAGTTAACTTTGAAATGACCTTCAAGGTTTCAAGATCAACGTCAAATTTGAGGTCACAAAAAAAAACAGAACTTTATGAATCCTAAAACTTTTATTCGGGTAATTTTTCCCTATAATGCATAGAATCTGAGATGGGGGTTCCGTTATTTTTGGAAAACTGGGTATATCTATATATACATGTATACACGCATAAACCTGTGTTTAAGTAACAAATAAATAATGAATGATAATAAATAAATAATAAATAATAAAAGACGATAATAAAGATTGCTTACCATGCTTGTCTTTATATTGTTGAACATAAGTTTCAGAATGTTTCATTAATGACTGACACATATTAACAAGAGCAGCAGCTAGTGATATTTCTACAGCAATATCTGATAACGATTCAAAATATTTATATGATTCTGCAACAAGTTCTTTACAAGATCGTAAGTGCGTATTTTCTTTATTAATTTGTCCAGCTAAAGTTCGTAATCCTTCTAAAAATGTATATATCAATAAAATTTGAGTAATACACAAAGATTTAAGTGTTATAATTAATTGTGTACAAAACATCGTACCGCGCAGCAATGTATTATATGTTACACTAACAAATCCTTTCCAATTAAAAATTGTAGTCAGAAGACATAATAATAATCTTGCTCCTTCTCTAAAATTATGATCGTTATCTTCTCTTAATCTGACAACAATATCATCCAATTTTGAGCAAACTTTTGGTAACAAATGTATTAACTCTTTCATAAAAAGCTCAGAAGGTCCATTCTCGAAGATGGCCAAAAGTTCTCTTACAACAAAACACACTTGCTTTATTGATATAGTTTGTATTGTGTGTTGTGATGATGCCCCGCCATCCATTTTAATATCTAAAAGATTGGCTATCTAAACATAACAATATATTATTAAGCACACAACTAATATCTTCTAATATATTAGGAGGTTACATTGAAAGCCGCTGTTTACATATAGATGGCTGTAGCTGCGTATGCTATGGGCAGTGACAGATGTCTTTTATGTCATTTTGAAGTGTGAACATTTCCCTAAATGAACTAAAATTCAGTTATCAGACGCCATCCTTTATTTACACAAGTGCTTTTCTATAACCAAATTAAAATGTAACACGATAAATCATTTTTCCAATGTGTACTTCTACACTACTTTGAAAAAAAGTGCAGCTGAAGCTCTCATCGATTGCTTGCGAAAACTTATGGTGAATCTGCTCCATCGGAAATAGTATGTAGAGATTGGTTTTGACGATTCAAAAGTGGTGATTGTGATGTTTACGACAAACGATGGCCAGGTCAATCGAAAAAATTGGAAGATGAACAACTGCACGCTCTATTGGAAGAAAACCCTGCTCAAACACTCAAAGAATTAACTCAGAAGTTTGAAGTTGATAAACCAACCATTTCACGATGTTTACAAGCTATGGGAAAGATTCAGAAAGAAAGGGCTGCCACATGAATTGACCGAAAATGCCATTGTTAATCGTTTAAATATCTCAATTTCTTCGTTTGCAAGGCATAAAAAGAAGAGTTTTTTGTGACATATCGTGACCGGCGATGAAAAATAGATCTATTTCGAAAGCCCGAAACGTAAGAAATCATGGATTAATTCTGCCCAACCGTCAACGTCGACATCAAAGCAAAACAATCACGGTCACAAAGCAATGTTCTTTATTTGATGGGATATGAAAGGTGTCATGTATTATGAGCTGTTGAAACCAAACGAAATAGTCACCGCAGAATGTTATCGACAATAATTGAAGTGTTTGAATGATAATTTGACGCAAAAACGACTATCAATTGTATCAAATCACCAAAGAGTGATTCTTCTCCATGACAACGCTCGGCCCCATATTGCTATAGCCGTGAAACACATTGATGGAATTCGAATGGGAGGTTCTCTCGCACCCAGCGTTTTCTCCGGACCTGGCCCCAAGAGATTATTATCTGTTCTGATCGATACAATACGCTTTGGAAGATACATATTTTCATAATTACGGAGAAGTCGAAAATTGGATTGTTGAATGGATTAGCTAAAAAGACAAACCATTCTTTCGTCGCGGTATTCAACTTCTGCCAGAAAAGTGAGAAAAAGTCGTAGCTTCCGAGGGCAAATACTCCGATTGATGTATTCACACATTTTGTTATTAAAATAAATGGTCAAAAAACATAAAAAAGCGACCTTCAATGCAACCTCCTTATAAATTAGAGATTATCATCATTACAGAAATTATAAATTATTATCATAAAAATTATTCACTAATCTTTAATAGATATATAGTTTAATAGATATATTAGTAGATATACAGGGTGTTCGGTAATTAGTCAACTCGAAGTGTGAAGATAGATTGAGTTAAGACAAACATAAAAATCCCATACCGTTTTGCGAGATTCGCAATAATTATCGAGTTATTAATGACAGAATAGACAGCTATTGGTGTTTTATCTCGTCGCACCTAGGTCTTGCCGTACGCCGCCAACAGTTGCTTGGTCGACTGGGCCGTGTTGTAACCCGAGAGGCTTCTCCAATCATCTATATCGGCGCGCTCCCATTCCTCAGATTTCTGTCATTAATAATTTGACAATTTATTGCGAATCTCGCAAAACAGTATGAGACTTTTATGTTTATCTTAACCCAATCTACCTTCACACTTCGGCTTGGCAACTAATTACCGGAAATCCTGTATATTTTCAGTAGATATACAGGATGTCCGATAATTAGCTGTCAACCTGAAGTGTGAAGATACCATATTTACGAAGCTGCTTTTCTACATTAAAAAATGACACATGCGATTTTTTAATCCCATAACGTTAAAAAAACATTACTGCTGCACGCCGATAATTCTTTTAACATTCACCTAATACTAATAATATATTTACTTCTATATCAAATATAGTGATAGCTATGATTTTCACAGTGCTAACTTTTTAAATAGTAATATACAACTGACAAGATTTTCATGAATAGTTAAATTGACCTCAATGAATGTATGAATGTTTGTTTACGTTTGAATCACCGATGAAAGACAAGAATACGCAATGCTTTACGACGAATAACAGTAATAAGTAACTTTTTTCAATATAACAAGTTACTTTTAAAAATAAATTATTTTTAAAAAATAACCTTTTCATTTCTCTCCGATTACATCTATATGACATCCATTAAACCGAATTTTTTAATTGTTTCAATGCAAGTAAATAATAAAACATTAAACCATATAGTTAACGTACCTTAGCATCAAATTTTCTAAAATACGCTGGATTTTTTATACATAATGTAGAACCTGTTTTCCAGAGTTCATTTTCTACAGTTGTGGAAGTGTTGGAATTAGTTTTCTTTTTAGATTTCTTCTCCTTTTTACTACATTTTCTTTCAATTTTTACAAATAGTGGTAATGGAAAATAATGAAAGTAACATGGAGGTGGTTGATATTTAGTGTCACATAATGTTAACAATGTATCCAGTTCACCTTGCAAATATATCAAAGTGTCTAAACGTTCTAATACTTGTTTTTGTAATAAAGGATCTTTTTGCGTGACAAAGCCAGTAATTATCTCTCTAAACCTGTAATATATTATTCTTGCAGTTATTTATAATTTTAACCAAAGTTGATAAAAAATTTAAAAGAAACTGTACAATATTAGTGCATAGTGCAATATGATCAAAAAGAAATTTAATTTTATTACTCACCAATTGATACAACATATAAGAAGATCTAATACTAAAGGTTCCGGTATATCAATGTTTTCTGGCATAAAAATTCCACATCCTAGAAGGGCATCTATAGCTTCCAGTTCTCCATGTACGTTAAGCTTCATGCAACATGTTTTGAGAAGTCGAAACAATATTGGTGCAATTGGACCAGTTCTTTTATTTCCAAGATGTAACATACAGTTTTGTGGTTCTTCTTCTGCATTATTCAGTCCAAATTTCGGAACTAAATGCTCACTGATACAACAATAAAATTATATTATATATTTATAAATTATATACGCATATATATATATATATATATATATATACTACACCTGATATATATATATATATATATATATCAGGTGTAGTAAAAAGAAATCCATTATTTTTCCAATAGATGGCTTTAGTTATCTGTATCTCGCGTTGTATAAGTCCGATCGGGTTCCACTAGATGGCGTTAGAAAGATGAGATTTCGTACTAAAAAAACTTTTCTGACAGTTTTGTGATTAGTTGACTCAGTTTTGTTTGAGCGCGCGTCAAAGATGGACACTAGCAAAGAGAAAATACGCTATATTTTACAGTTTTTCTTCGATAAAGGCGAAAATGCAAGCCAGGCGGCTGAAAATGTGAATAATGTTTATGGTCCTGATACTGTAACAGCCAATCACGCGCAATTTTGGTTTCGTCGATTCCGTTCCGGTAATTTCGATGTCAAAGATGCACCACGCACTGGAAGGCCAATTGTCGAAAATATCGATAAAATCATGGACATTGTCGAGTCCGACCGTCATGTAAGCACTGTTTCGATTGCCCAAGAGCTAAAGATTGCACAAAAAACCGTTTGGAACCATTTGAATAAGGCTGGATACAAAAAGAAGCTCGATGTATGGGTGCCACACGAGTTAACGAAAAAAAACCTCATGGACCGAATTTCCATCTGCGAATCGCTGCTGAATCGCAACAAAATCGACCCATTTCTGAAGCGGTTGGTCACTGGTGATGAAAAGTGGATCACTTACGACAACGTCAAGCGAAAACGGTCGTGGTCGAATCGCGGTGAGCCGGCGGAAACGGTGGCCAAGCCAGGATTGACGGCCAGGAAGGTTTTGCTGTATGTTTGGTGAGATTGGCAGGGAATTATCTACTATGAGCTGTTCCCCTACGGCAAAACTCTTAACTCGGAACTGTACTGTCAACAATTGGACCGTCTGGAGGAAGCAATCGCCCAGAAGCGGTCAGCTTTGGCCAATAGGAGAGGAATTGTGTTTCATCAGGACAACGCCAGGCCACACACATCGATAGTGACTCGCCAGAAGCTCTGGGAGCTTGGTTGGGAGGTTCTTATGCATCCACCTTATAGTCCGGACCTGGCACCAAGTGATTACCATCTGTTCCTGTCCATGGCGAACAATTTTGCTGGTGAAAAATTCGCTTCAAGAGAGACTTGTGAAAATCGACTGTCTCAATTTTTTGCCAATAGGGACGAGGGCTTCTATGAGAGAGGCATAATGAAATTACCTTCAAAATGACAACAAGTTATCGAACAAAACGGCGCATATTTGACCTAAATCGGATCATTCTAACTATGGTAATTAAAGCCTTCAATTTCATGCAAAAATAATGGATTTCTTTTTACTACACTTGATATATATATATATATATATATATGTATACATATATACAGGATGTCTCATTTTAATATCCCACCGCAAATAACTCTTCAGTATTGAAGTTTCAAGGAAAGTAACCTGAATAAAAGAGATTTATGTGAACTACCTTATGATGACCTTGAACTCAATTTTCAAGGTTATTTGAAGGTCAACTTGTGTTTTTTAAATGGGAACCCCTATTTTTTTATTACACTATTTTTTTCTACTAGTTAATTTGAACAACTTTTGTCTAAAACATTTTTTTATTTGTCTAATATTTTTTGAGATATTTGAGGAAAACTTGATAACTTTTCCAATATTTAACTTACGATATCTTACTAATTTGTCGGAAGAAAAAATGGTACTACATTTTCTTGCTTTATTTAGTCTCAAGAATATATTGTTACAATAGTTCCCTGATTTTTGTTAATTTGATGATTTTGAAATTTTCAAAAATCAATATGTCCTCAGCGGGTCCTCAGGAGATCTCGAGAACGTCTTCCGGACGTCCCTCATGTGGTTTAGAAGACATAATCAGGACAACACGGACAAGGACGTCTTCGAGATAGTTATAGGATGTCGATGGAGATATTAAGGACGTCGGAGAAAGATATTCGTGTAGGACATTTTTAAGATTTCTGCCGGACATTGTTATATACGAGGGTAGTCCCAGAAGTACCTGACCTGACGTATAGATAGTGGTTGTTGTTTGAAAAGAATGACTATGGTAGAAAGTACCAACCTTATAAAGCTTAAGTTTGAAGCTTGACGACGCTACGTTGTTTAGTATTTGTTTGGCAGCCATCAATAGTGAACGCTCTCAGTGAATTTGTAAACATGGAAAAAATTGGTCATCGTTATGTGATACAATACTTTCATTTGAAAGACCTCAGTCAACCAATATCAAAGTGGAGTTAGATTCTATTTTGGAGGAGTCTGCTCCTTCGTTTACAACAGTAAAATATTGGGTGGCAGAGTTTAAACGAGGCCGTACGAGCTGCCAAGACGAATATCGCAGTGGTCGACCAAATGAGGTGATCACGCCAGAAATGATGAAGAAAATCCACAAAATGGTATTGGATGATCGTCGACTGGAAGTGCGTGAGTTAGCAGACATGGTAGGCATTTCAAAAAGTGCTGTACATCGCATATTGACTGAAAATTTGGACATGAGAAAGCTGTGCGCAAGATGGGTGCCGCGATTGGAATAAAAACAGCGTTGTAAGGATGTTTCAATCGAGTGTTTGGCGAAGTTTCGCAGCAATAAAGCCGAGTTTTTGCATCGATTCATAACCATGGATGAAACATGGGTCCATCACTTCACACTTGAGACGAAGGAACAATCAAAACAATGGACCAAGGTGGCTTGATGGCTATTTTGAGAAGCTCGACGATTCCCACTATAAACAGGGTATCGAAGCTATTGAACATCGCCGGGAAAAGTGTATTGAGCTAAAAGGTGACTATGTAGAGAAATAAAGATATTTTTCCCAAATTTTTTGTGTTTTCTTTGTTAGGTCAGGTAGTTCTGGGACTACCCTCGTATGTTTGATGTACAGAAATTCTATCCATTCTATTCCATTTCCTAATATAGTTTACAATTTGTAGTCAGATATCTGATATAAGACATTTTTGGAATTAGCACATCGTCAAATAATTTACAGTCATTCTATACAAATATTTCAATAATGCATCTAACCAGAAAGAAATTTTAAAATACTGTGCTAGAGAATGAAACAGTACTAATGCTTGTACACTTCAAATAGAAGATAAAAATAAATTGCAGAAAATATGTTTTTATTGCTCAATGTATATATGTGTGTCTTATACAGGGTGAGGAAAAAATACCGGGACCCTGAAATATATTGAAAAATATTATTTTTATGAAAAAATGTTTCAGACAAAAGTTGTAAGGCGGTGAACGTTTGGAAAAAGTTTGGTGAACGAAAATAGCCACTTAACATGTCCCCCTTGAAACTCAAGTTGACGTGTCTGAGCGTTTTTCGAATTAATTAAATTAAATACCAAAAAACACGCTTGTTTCGTTTTCGGTGGCAAATCTATTAATTAACGCTATGAATTTGACCTTGGAATAACCTTGAAAAGCTCAGTAACCTTCAAAATCAACATAAAAATCTTAAATGGAAATTCCAATTTTTTATTATACCATCTTTTTCCATCAATTAATTTGAACAACTTTTGTCTAAAACATTTTTTTATTTGCTTAATATTTTTTTAGGTAATTAAGGAAAACTTGATGACTTTTTCAATATTTAATTTACATCTTGCTATTTGTCGGAAAAAAAAATGGTATTAGATTTTTGCTCTATTTAGTTTTAAGAATATATTTTTACAATAACACCCGGATTTTTGTTAACTTACTGACTTTTGGAAATTTTAAAATCATCAAATTAACAAAAATCAGGGTGCTATAAGTTGATATGAAAGTAAGCTGATATAAACTATAACTAACGTAATGACACGTTGCTATTTATTAAATGATCTTATGAATAATCTAGAATGGTGCAAATTCAAAATACTTATTTATAGGATTTTTTGCTATCTTTTGTTTTGCATTATAACTATATGTGATTAATTTACTCGTCAAGAGACGAGCTGCAATCGCACGTAATAAAAAATATATATTGAAGATCAAAAAATCAAGTATCAATTGACGATTAAAATTTGTCCTTGAAGAAGTTTTAACGAGTTCAACTAGAAAAAAAGCTAACTTCATATCATGTGATGTTACTTTCAATACTAAACAGTTAATACAAAATAAAAAAATTCATATTTCTTTTAATTTTAGAAATAATAATCTGCAACTTCTTTAATTTTGTTACTCTATATAACAAAAATATAACTTAATGTAGTCAATTTACGAAATAACTAATTAAGATCTTAAATTATTCATATTATTGTTGAATTTTTATTTATGAACGATAGAACATATAGGTACGAAAAGAATAAGCTCATTTGCTAAGTAGCTAATTTCCTGCTTTAGCCGTAACATATATTATTTACCATATATTATTTAAAGAATTGTATAACAGTATTTCTAAAAATATTATGGAAGAGAAAGAGGTTATAAATATTTATACAGAGTTTCTGGCAATTAAGGCATGAAAGTAAAATGCATTAAACTTAATAAAATAACCCACTATAATTTTGCAAAACTGTGCACTAGCTATTACGGAATTAAAAGTAATATTGACGAGTATGTGAATGGAAAGCAATAGATATGGTCCTATGTAAAATGTCTTGAATATGTTGCCACTATTTAAAAAATGATGCGAGGTATTAGAATATAAGCTTCTACGATGTGTATTGATGCATTGATAATTGATAGATACTCTGCTCATATTTTACGATACATAATTAATCTGAAAACATTATTTACCTGCATTGCGGCTTGTCTATCATATAAGTATTAACAAACTCATCTTCAATACAGTTGCTAACTTTCTGAAGAAATTCTGTATTAATAAATTCAGTTTGTGCAATTACTTGCGCTAGTTGGTCATAAAACAAAGGTTGCGATTTAGAACAATTTCTTACGCACTTCATTACTTTATCTGCAAAGAAAAATATTAAATTTATTGATTGTTCTATTAAATTTATGAAATATTCTGTATCCTATACAAGATGTCTCATTTTAATAGTACACCTCGATTATCATTGCAGAAAGTACTCGGATGGAAAAATGTTTTAAACAAAAGTTGTATGGTTTCGAGGAGGACATAAGATGGTGCCATTAGTGTGACCTTGAATAGTTGCTTCAAAGTCAGGTGAAAGTCACCTTCAATTTCATAAATGGAACCACCTATTTTTCATGACATATTCTTCTAGATTACATCGTAAGCTTTCCAAAAACCTATAATAAAGTACCTTTTTTGTTAAATATTTTTTAACTTATAAGGCAAGATCGAGGCACGGTCCGGTCAAGGCAAGATCGGTAAACAACCTAGCCAGTCAAGGCAAGATCAGTAAACAACCTAGCCAATCAAGGCAAGATCGGTAAACGAACTAGCCAATCAAAGCAAAATCGGTAAACGACCCAGCCATTCAAAGCAAGATCGGTAAACGACCCAGCTAGTCAAAACAAGATCTGGGCTTACGTTTAATTACTTCAGATATTCGAAAACCTGGCCACTTGCTTGTATGCATAACTCTAGTATATGTCGAAAATCATCCCTAACTTTTTGAAGAACACCTGCATTAATATTTCTGCATGCTTCTGATATGGTTTTTCATATTTTCTACAGCCGTAAGTTGTTCCGAAAAAACTTTGTCTTTGTATCCCCAGAAATAAAAATCTAAAGGCGTCAAATCGGGTGATCTTGGAGGACATTCTTGAATTCGGCTGCTCATACCTATTCGGGAATCTTTCATTTAAGTATTCTGTAACGGCTCGAGATCTATGAGCTAGTGCTTCGTTTTATTGAAACCACATTTGGTTGAGTACTTCATTATCGACATGTCTCAACAGGTTACGCAGGTCATTTTGAATAAATCTTAAATAGTTGCCGTATTGACTTTTCCTTCAAAGAAGTATGGACTCACAATCACATCTCCCAGAATGTCTACGCAGACGTTAATAGACCACTGCCTTTAGAAATCTCAGGTTCTTTGTCAATGTGGATTCACATTTAAATAATAATGACAATTATGTAAATTAACGCCCCCTTTGTTGCAGATCGCGGCCTCAGAAAAGAGGATATCAGCTATGAACCGGGGGTTTGCTTGGATTTGATCTTGAGTCCAGTTACAAGAACGTATACGGTGTTAGAAGTCCCTCTCTTCTAATTGTTGAGTTAGGTGGATGTGGTATGGATGGAATTTATTGGTCCTGAGTACACGATTAACTGTTGATTTGGATATACCATGTTGCTTCTCAATTTGTCTTGTAGAGATTTGAGGATTTAAAACAATAGCACCCATAACAGCCAACGATGTGACCTCGTTACGACCAGATTTTCGACGTATTCGTTTAAGAATACCCTGTCCAGCTTTGTTATAAAGTTTCTTTATTACCCTCTTATCAGAATAGCGTCTGTCTAGGAATTTTTTAGCATAAAGCCTTTCTGCTGCCGAGTAATTATTTCTGGCCTCACCCAACGTATGAATCATATCCACAATTTCATTTGATGGGTAATCGGCCATAATTATAATAAAAAAAACAAAATAATTATAATAAGGAAACAAAAAACTTTGCAAAAGTACAAAAAATTTCTATCCTAACAAGAAAAAGTTAGTGGATAATAATATGCGTTTGACTGCTATTCTTACAATGAATAAACTTCCACTGTTTGTTTAGATCAGAAACTGCACGACGACACTGACAACTGTTTATGGCGTCAGCGGAATAAAAGTCCGAAGAACGATATGTTTTTAACGTAAAATTTTTTCTATCGTTTTCTGGATTTTTAGATTATTTATCGATCTTGCCTTGACTGGCCGAACCGTGCCCTGACTTTGTCTTATAAGTTAAAATGTATTTAACAAAAGAGTTGTTATAGATTTTTGGAAAGCTCTCGATGTAAGCTAGAAAAATATGTCATGAAAAGTAAGTGGTTCCATTTATGAGATTGAAGGTGACCTTCACCTGACCTTTAAGCAACTATTCAAGATCGCATTAATGGCACTATCTTATGTCCCCCTCGAAACCATACAACTTTTGTCTAAAACATTTTGTTCAGTCCTATCTATGCGTCCTATCTACACACATTGTATGTACACAGTGTTAGTATGATAATTATCATATGTTCTATATAATGTTGAAAACATTAAATAATCTATTATAAAATTTTAATCTAATCTAGTTTAAATTATATTAAATATATATTACATTTCCTTTACATGCATGATACATAAAAAAATAGTGCAAAATATACATACTAAATAGTTTCATGGCCTGATCACAAGTTTCAACTTTCCTTGCCAGATGTTTTATTGCCATTACTGCTCCCATAACACCTTTACATTTTGTGCTGAAATATATTATTTAATTCTGGTTTCATATAATTAATAAAAGATATAATATTGATCATATAACTTACAGAGGTTTAGCAGCGGATAGTTGTTTTTGCAATAGTATACATAAATCATCCTGTAATGATTCTGAAGTGGAATCATCAATTAGACATAAACTATGTAATAAATCACTTAAGGTGCCAACTTCTTGAAGCCCGAAGCAATCTATTTTTTCTAATAAAATTCTTAAATGATTGCATTGTAATATTAAACAATTTCTCTCAGCAGTATTTTCTGCCATTTTACAAAGTATAATTAGTGCGTGTTGTACAGTTTGATCATTATTACCCATAAAAAGTATAATCTTTTCTATAATTTCACGCTGTTTAAATATTTCTTTCTGGTTAAGAAATTGTAATCGGAACCATTCTATCGCAAAGTTAACGAATACATGTTCATCAGATTTCAATAATTTACCAGCTAATTGTAATGCTGATAACTGTAGTTCTTGAACAACCTAAAAATAGATATAAAGAGTATAATAAAATGCTACAGTTATAAGTTTGTCAGATGAAATATAATTATATAAATATTTTGTTTATAATAAATATACAAACCTCTTTATAGCTACTATAAAGCATTTGAAGGAGACTTTTTCTATAAAAACCACATCTTATATTTTGTTTCCATAAAGATTCTGCATTTTTCTGTTTTACTGTTCCAGCAAATATTAAGAGCAATATGATTAAATCTAATGGTTTTGGATCTTTATTGATGTCCTTTATAACCATTATCGCAATATGCGTCACATCTTTATTTAATAACATACACATATTCAATGTTTTAACTATCTGTACTTGATTTTTGTAACAATCATGAATTTCATTACCAGCAAGAGGCTGCATTTCTATGTCACGTAATATGAGTAACATTTGTTTAATAATATCGGAAGATACATAGTCATTAAGAAGAAATCTGCAAAATTACTTAAAATTATTATGATTAATATTAAACCAAGATAACAAAATAAATTTAAAATAATTTATATATTTATGTACCTGATAATAATTGGTATAAGTTCTAATTTTATATTCGTTTTTAACAAATTTAATACTTTAACCTTATATTCCATCAAATATTCTTTACTAAGATTAAAACTAGTGATGCAATTTAAAATTATATTTGTTAATTCATAATTTTCCTCCATTATTTTTGTCAGAATTTTAGCTATACTTTGATGTTGAATATCTAATAAAATATCAGGTAAAAATAAGATAAGTTCTTGTTGAAACCACATTGGACAAGTTTCTAATAGCTGTTCCATATTTGCAGTTAATGTATCAACACTGGCTATGGTATCCAAAAAACGGAATTGATGTAACATTGGTACAGCCCAAGGTATTTTCTCAGGTATATCTCTATAAAAAAAAATATATATATACAGAACTTCTTAGAACTTCAAATTATATATATCTTTCCAACATCATAATTACTAAACATGTAATAAATTAGAACTCAGAATTATATACAATATATATTTGTCATATATTTATACAAAATTATACACTTACGCTAATAGAATAAATTCATTAAGTTTAGATATAAAGATGTTGAATACATCTGTTTGAATTTCTGTAATTTCCAATAATATTCTCGCAACAGATATACTATTTACAATAGTGAAATCTCTATCATCAATAGATATTTCAATATTACTTAATATATTTAGAAAACCTTTATCTCCAATATATTCTTCTATGGAATCAATTATATCTCTTTTTGAATACTGTTTTAATATTGACTTTAACCTCTGCTTAATAATAGATGGAGGAACATCTACAAAAATAAAATTTTAATGTACAAAATATTATCTTCCATTAAAAATAAGTATAATTTTAAAAGTATAATATAAGCATAATATAAAAACTTACTAGTGCATACACTATCAGTTGACAATATAATTCCAGATTTCCGTAGGAAGTTTACAAAAACAGATGACATGTAAAAATTTGACTTTTTTGAAAGACTTTCCTTGTTACTGACATTACGTTTAAATTTCGTATCAGAATAAAATTTGTTGAATTTATCTTGTAACTCTTTCTGAGAAATATAGTCCATTTGTTTAATAGGTGATACACTCAAAGAAAGTAATTTCCTATCAGAATTATTGATATTGTTTTGGCCAGTACATTGTATTTTTGTATCTACAGTAATTTCATCAAGCTTTTTTTTTTTCTTTATATATTTTTTAGGTGAAAAGTCAAAATCATTCTCTGAATCTGTAGAACTAGAATCTATTTTACGTTTATATATTACTGTTTTTTTCACAGAAAGATCAGTATCTGTTAAGGATTTGTTTACTATTGACATATTCCTTGATAAATAATCACTGTTTTGTTGACTTGTTACAGAAGGTATATCTTTTGCTAACATTTGACTATTTCTTAATGAAGATGTTTCTTTTGACAATCTATCTTTAATAATCAAACTATCTTTTCCCAATAAATTTTTTTCATCTTTATAAGAATCTATTTTTTTATTTACAATGGAAGAATTACATCTTACTAGGGATTGGTTGCTTAATGTTTTCAATACTGATTCAGTATTTGACAATTGCCCATCATTGAAAATATTAGTACCATCTTGTGTTGTAATGTTATTTACATGAAGATCTATTTGTTTATTAATATTAGAATCAATATTTTCCGTTTGTTTCTCTACTTTCTTTTCTTGCAAGTTATGTAAACTTTTGAAAGTAAATTTTCTTTTATCCATAGCACAAATAATCTTTATTTCTTCTATCAATATTTTGAATACTTAAGACTTTTTAAATTTATTACTAAAATAATATGAAATTAGCAACTGAAATAAAAAAAGATACATTTTAGTATAATTATATATACTATTATTTTATATATATTAGACTCACGTATGAACATAATTTATTCACTACCGCACCTTATCTTCCGCTACAATCGAATTCATCGAATCAGTCAATGGTTTAAGCTAAAGCTAAGACTCCATACATGCGGTGAGCTCCGGCAAACGGCTGCGGTGACCAATCAGGAGGGAGGCGCAAGTCCGGTTGCGGCAAGCTCCGGCATGCGTCTGTCTCCTAATTGGTCACCGCAGCCGTTTGCCGGAGCTCACCGCATGCATGGAGTCTTAGCTTTAGGCCCAGTTCCACAATTTGCTTTAAACTCCGTTTAAAGCAAATTGTGGAACTGGAACTTAAAGGCCATTGCACGTACAAAAGTTTTAAGGCTCGTCTACATTAGCTGTAAGAGTAAGGCTGTAAGGTTGCAAGACACGAAATGAAATATTTTCATTCGCTGACAGCTTACGTTACAGCCTTACAGCCTTACTCTTACAGCTATTGTAGACGAGCCTTTAGTCGCAACCGTAAGTCCGTAAGCAAATTGACCAATCACAATTCGTATATTTCGAGATGCTGGATTGTGATTGGTCAATTTGCTTACGGTTTTACGGTTAAGACTAAAATTTTTTTACGTGCAATGGCCTTAAGAGTCTGCAGGAGCCAGAGACAAATCCAGCGTTGACTTTGGAGACCTCGTGCGGCAAGATCGCGAATCAACACCGTGCACGCGAGCCAAATGGTCTGTTCTTTGTAGCTGCACTGTTGAACTGGTGCAATAAGTTAAGCCCGTATCAGACTATGGATTGGGATTGAGATTAGATTGAAATTTGACCAATTGAAAAAGAGAAAATAATCTCAAGTATAGTAAACTTACTCCTGATTGGTTTCAATCCAATCCGTAGTCTGATACGGGCTTTAAAGTGAGACAATAGGTTTTCTCACTCTGGCTTATTGCACTAGTTCAGCAGTGCAGCTACAAAGAACAAACCAAAAGTTGCTAGATGCAATATATTATGACGCTACAGCGCATGCGTGAGATGACGTAGGCTCTACAAAGGCTGTGTTCCAATATTCACTGCCAGCACTGAAAATCTATAATATACGTAACACAAACTATGTATCTTCAGTACTAACAGTGAATTTTGGAACACAGCCTATAGCATATGCCAATGACGGCAATAAAGCGCATCGCAGGGTCCATGGAGCGGCCCGCGCTATCCGATCAGCTGTCTTCCCGCATAGTCCCGCATAGTCTTTCCCGCGTTTCTTGCGCGAGTGCTTTATCCCAGGTTATGTTGTCCAGTCGATACTAAGTAACAGTTACGTTACATTAACATTATAATTTCTCACTCGACTATGTAACTGTTACATAATACTTGTATTATGTAACAATGACATTGTTAAGTGAAAAATTGTAATATAGATTGAGAATTACTATCGGACCATTTAAAATAATCACGATTTAGATCATCTAATTTACTCGATTGCAATTCTCAATGCATATAGTATAGTACGGGCGCTATAATACCTCAAAGAGATACGATGCTGAGACTTTTACCTGAGAGAAACCTGAGAGCGACCAACACGACATTTTCTGCGACACCGATTTTCCGCACTGGGAAAGGACACCATCTGCATCCATTTTGGGAGGGGAACTACGATAGTACATCCACTTTCAGGTCTCGGTGGTAAAATCTGCATGTAGTGGAAGTCCATGCTATATCCATTTTCAGGCGGTTTATGTTCGTGCTGCAACCACAGTTGCCATTTCTATGCCAGACTATGCCAGGAGGTCTAAAAAGAGGGGGGAGGAGGGAGGAGCAGAAAAAATAAAAGTACATATTAAATGTTAAATCTTCAAATATATATTGCTGTATCAAAGTCTTTTCTATAATAAACAATTTGACATGTATGGAGACGCATGATGTATCGTTGCCCGTGTCCCATTCACTTCGTCCTGTTTCTTAATTCAGCATCCCGTCCGCTTCGAACATTCGCTCGTGGCACTGACAATGGTCGTCGGTGAGTATTCGATCCGCTCGGAGGAACACGTGTTAATTAACGCGACGAGACTCCGATTATAAATATCCCGTGAGTCGACGAAATATTTGAACTTTTAAAAAAAGCATCAAAGAAAATCACGTTGACGTTGTCATGGGTGAAATCTCACCCTAGTATATATTTTTTTAGTTTCGAAATAAAAAAAGCTAAACGAATGCAATTAAATGTTATTTATCATCATTGAATATTAGATGAAAAGTAGAAGAGTTATTGTCCCCAGCGGATAATCTCCCTGTATAAAATGTCGAACTGAAACATATTAAAAAGTATTGACATTTTGAATACGTCTGAATTCTGCTTTCTGATCCGAAGAAAGGGACTAAAAAGTATTAGTTCCCATTAAATTTCACCGCGCTAAATGCGAGATGGCAGTGGTGAATGCTTCACATTAATAAGGATTCAATTCATTTCAAATATACCTTGTATTCAATCGCAATCGATAATTTTCAAATGCGAACTTTCGTACTGAAAAGTATTCACTTCTTCTCTTAATTGTTTTCGGATTCAAAGGCATATAAGATTTTCACGTTCTATTCCCCGTCGCATTGAAAAGTATTGGCCCGCGATCCAATCTGAGATTCCCATAAAGCAGAATTCATGACAAAATCTCGTGAATGCGAAACAATACTTTAAAATACGATATTTTATACACGACTAACATCTAATAAAAACGAGACAAAATTCGCATGGGATGAAATTCCACTCTTTAACGCTACCATGACCTTTAATTATTCTCCGCAAACAACTTTGACACTTTGTACAATTAGTTGCTAACATATTTTCTAATCGTACACATTCTTCTTTAATTAACATAAAGCTAACAAATATCCGATGCTTCGACAGAATAATTTTCTTTTTTTTCAGTAATCAATAAGTAGTAAATCAATGTCGCATACAGTTGAAAGGCCTCCTTGCATTCCCCTCGGAACGTTCCGGAACCTTCGAGAAAAGAAGAGACGCCCAAGGGCAAGTATCTCTTGCTTCAACCGCCGCCGAGGCCCACAATGTTTACATCGCGCCGATTGTGTTGATCGGCTCGCGAGCGACGACACTTTTTGCCCTTTGTATTAATACTCGCGTGCCTCGCGTACTCGACCTCTTTCCATCAGCAGCAGCCGTGCACGACGCGCTCGTCATTTCCTCTCGTATAATTGAAAGAAATATGTCTCGTCGGTCCTCGAGATATTCAATCTGCATCGCGTCGGCATCGCGTTGATTAACCGCACAGTCGACTCGCGAGTATTCAGTGTTAGAAGCGTGAGTGAGTGAAATCCGAAGGACTCCAGCAGCCGGGAAGCGGGACGCCGGCAGCGATACGTCACGTTTCCAGGTATGTGGAATCATTTATTATGCGGGAGGTCTCTGATAATGAGAGCGGACGTTTGACGAATTTTCCAGCAATAAGAAGTCGGAATTTCGCGCTCGGCATTCACAGTCCGTCATCATTCGACTAGTAATCATCACTTTATGAATTTGCAATTACTCTCGTCAATCTCTGTCTGTCTATCTATTTATTGTGTTGTTGTATACAAAAGATATTGACCCAGACAGAGACGGATAACAGTCCATGAACGCGAATCTCTAATACATCATGTTCTTAATCAAACATTCTGAATAATTCCCAACTGTATGAGTATACCGGTCTTGTGTAGAATATTCAACGTCATACTTTCCTTTTAGACTGCGACTTTTTTTGTTTTCGGTCAGCGCTTCTTTCAAGTCTGTTTACTCTCGTTACGGAATCTAAATTTAAATGTCCATTTGTAAAAGAGTATTTTCGAGAGCACATAACTGTTGTCTCTGCTTCTTGTTGTTATTTTTTTCGTCAGCTCTTCCAAAAACTCCTATTTAGACTTTCAATGTCAATGCAGAAAAAAATTGTAGCGAATATTCTCTATTCGTATCCGACCAAACATTCTTTCTCTATCGCAGCTTACCAACCAGGAACGCTAAATTCTTGTTCCAGACGTTGCGGGAAGCAAGTCCGGCGGACGCGGATGCTGCACCGGAGGATCTGGTTCGGGTAGACCAGGGTCGGCCGGAAGGTAAAGTTTACAAGTTTCCTACACATCTGTGTTCAACTCTTTACAATCTTTGTCTTTGCAACTTGTTCCTCATCAGCTCTCTTGAAAGCTTCATGTCTCATTTAAATTTTCAATGTTGGAACAAAAATATACAGATAAGAATTCCGTATCAAGATATTTCCGTATTTTCGATTCGTCCCGATCAAAGATATTCTCTCTCTACCGCAGGTTATCAACTGGGAAAATTATTTTTCTGTTTCAGTTGTTGCGGAAAGCAACAGCAATCCGGCGGACGCGGATGCCGCACTGGAGGATCCGGTTCGGGCCAAGCAGAGTCGGCTTGAAGGTAAGTTTACAAGTTTACTATAGTTCTCTGTTTGACCCTTGGCGATCTAGAGCTGGAATATAATTTCCGGCTCGACTTGAATTACGATCGTAGAGGGTAAACTACTCTTTTACTCGCTCGCACTCGTTGGTCAAATCTGATAAGCGAATGTGAATTTTTTGTTACAGAGTTGAAGCGGAACGTAGCCGGCTCTGACTGCAAGTCGTATTGGTGAGTAAATGCAAAATGAAAAGATAAGCAAAATTCCGCATGGCGGATGTGGGACTATGGGAGATAAAATATCGTTCGAGTCAATGCGAATTGCAAATAGATTTTGCATGTGTGTGTTTGTGACGTTGAATAAAATACATTGCTCGAAATAATCAGAGGTTACTTGATCGATAGCCTGCATTACATACGAGATTTAAAATACCGAATGATTCTCTTTTGATGTTCATTTGAATAAGAGATATTCATGTTTACAAACGCGACACCGTCATCAGCTGCTTTATTTTCATTTTTCAAGCGGGTCGCAGAATTATATAACGACAATTATTTGACAATATTCAATTGTCCGTGTAAAATCTATTCATACGCATTAATGCCGATACCTTTGGCCACTTTTTTATTTCCAAAACAGGCTGTACAATTATTTGACAATATTGTCCATTCATTACGATCCCTACTGTCTAACCTACTGTCTCGAGTAGCGTATAATGCACGCAGAAATTGCGCCAGCGGACGCCGAGCTTGAGGTATCCTCGCTCGCACGTCTTTGAATATCGCGACCTCAGTTATCAATATACGCGTTTTCACCTGCGCTGCTAACAAAGAAAGCTTAAATTCTCATTTCGCCAAAGTATCGCGAGCGCAAGCTTCGTCGTGACGGAATCATATTATCATGCGTGATAATATATATTGCGGAATCATATATATATCATGCGTGAAAATTTTACCTCGCTCTCTCTCTCTCTCTTTGTGCTCCCTCAGAATGACCGGTTTCTAATTGTCTAATCTTCCCCCGCATGCATTCGCGAATATTCTCGTAGATATCGATACTCCCGCATTTTTGCGACTTTTCAGGCGCGGTCGCGAAAAGCGTCGTAAAAATCCGTTGGACGAGTCGATAAATTTTCGCACGGTTCTTGCTCCTTGCCGATCAAGTTTATAGACCGCTTCGCAGTGCGTGAAAAGTTTCCACCGATGTAAAACGTTCGTTAATTGACGCAAATATCGCCGCTCTAATACAAGTATAGACCGCGTCGCGGAAGTGCGGCGAAAGTGTAGCAAACAACGTAGGACGCGCTGCAAGATGGATGCTGCGCAACACGGAGAGCGGCAGCGGACATGGACGAACATTGGTGGATCTAGTTGGATGCAATGGAACATCATCAATATCATCATCGGTGAGCGTTTGACTCAATGCTCGCAGAGAGCTCATTTATTATTACATTGTGCATGCCGCAAATTTGCATTGACTTTTGTAACGAAAAACATATTTCTTGAATTATTGCCATATATTATGGCCATATATTATTGCCATATATTGTTGCCATATATAGTTGACGTATATTATTGCCATATATTATTGCCACATATTGTCATGTATTATCGCCATATATTATGGCCACTTGAAATTGCGCAAACAATCGAGAAAACCGAATCCCAATTCCCAGTTTAAACTGGGAATTGGGAGTCGAGATTTATTGTGAGAATAGGGTTGAGATAGGACTATATTGTGGCAAAAGCTCGTTCCTATATCTTGAGCCGTTTCCGCGAGGAAACGGGTTGGAAGACGTTCGCAGCCGCGATGGAATTTGACGCTCACGTTCGCAATGATCTAACATTCTATTCGCGAATGGGTGCCATCGCCCCCTCCCCCTCTTTTCGCAACGGTGCAGATGTTTATCTCCTTTTTTACTTATTTTTCGCGACAACGATACCGCGACGAGGCCCGAGCGAGTCTGGTTTGTTTATAACCAGCGTTTATGTCAAAAGCGCTTCTCGGGAACATTCCGCTAGAAACCAAGGGAACATTCCCACTAGAAACCAAGATATCAACATTAAAATTTAAAAATTAAATTAAAATATAATTAAAACTTAAATATGTAACCTTCGGCATATCCTAAACGGCTCAAGACACAGACACGTTTATCTTTCACAATATAGTCCTGTACCAAACCTAATCTCACCCTGAATCTCGACTCTCAATTCCCAGTAGAAGCGGAGATATTAACGGTACAAGTTGGAAAACTTTAACTTTCGATATCTCCTAAACGGCTAAAGATACAGGCCTGTTTTTTGCATTAAAATATAGTGCTGTAAATACCCTACAACCCACCATAGCTTTCTACTCTCAACTCCCAGTAGAAGCGGTGATATCAACGGTATAAATTGGAAAATTTTAACCTTCGATACCTCCTAAACGGCTAGAGATACAGGCCTGTTTTTTGCACCAAAATATAGGGCTGTAAAAACCCTACAACCCACCACAACTTTCTACTCTCAACTCCCGGTAGAAGCGGAGATATGAACGGTACAATTTGAAAATATTTAACCTTCGATATCTCCTAAATGGCTAGAGATACAGGCCTGTTTTTTGCACGAAAATATAGTGCTGTAAAAACCCTACAACCCACCATAACTTTCTACTCTCAACTCCCAATAGAAGCAGAGATATCAACGGTACAGTTTAGAAAATTTTAACCTTCGGTATCTCCTAAACGGCTAGATACAGGCCTGTTTTTTTCACCAAAATGTAGTGCTGTAAAAACCCTACAACCCACCACAACTTTCTACTCTCAACTCCCGGTAGAAGCGGAGACATCAACGGTACAATTTGGAATACTTCGATATCTCCTAAACGGCTAGAGATACAGGCCTGTTTTTGCATCAAATATAGTCCTGCAAAAACACTATTCTCACTATAAATTTCGACTCTCAATTCCCAGTAGAAGCGGATATATCAACGGTACAAGTTGGAAAACTTAAACCCTCGATATCTCCTAAACGGTTAGAGATACTGGCTTGTTTTTTGCACCAAAATATAGTGCTGTAAATACCCTACAACACACCATAACTTTCCACTCTCAACTCCTAGTAGAAGCGGAGATATCAACAGTATAAATTGGAAAATTTTAACCTGCGATACCTCCTAAACGGTTAGAGATACAGGCCTGTTTTTTACACCAAAATATAGTGTTGTAAAAACCATACAACCCACCATACATTTCTACTCTCAACTCCCAGTAGAAGCGGAGATATCAACGGTACAAATTGGAAATCTTTAACCTTCGATATCTCCTAAATGGCTAGAGATACAGGCCAGTATTTTGCACCAAAATATAGTGTTGTAAAAACCCTACAACCCACCATAACTTTCTACTCTCAACTCCCAGTAGAAGCGGAGATATCAACGGTATAATTTGGAAATCTTTAACCTTCGATATCTTCTAAACGGCTAGAGATACAGGTCTGTCTTTTGCACCAAAATATAGTGTTGTAAAAACCCTACAACCCACCATAACTTTCTACTCTCAACTCCCAGTAGAAGCGGAGATATCAACAGTATAAATTGGAAAATTTTAACCTGCGATACCTCCTAAACGGCTAGAGATACAGGCCTGTTTTTTGCACGAAAATATAGTGCTGTAAAAACCCTACAACCCACCATGACTTTCTACTTTCAACTCCCGGTAGAAGCGGAGACATCAACGGTATAATTTGGAATAATTTAACCTTCGATATCTCCTAAACGGCTAGAGATACAGGCCTGTTTTTTGCACCAAAATATAGGGCTGTAAAAACCCTACCACCCACTATAACTTTCTACTCTCAGCTCCCAGTAGAAGCGGAGATATCGATGGTAGAGTTTGGAAAACTTTAACCTTCGATATCTCCTAAACGGCTAGAGATACAGGCCTGATTTTTTTACCAAAATATGGCCCTGTAAAAACCCTATTCTTACCATAAATTTAGACTCTCAATTCCCAGTATTTAGTATTTAACTAATAATCTAATGACTAATAAACCTAATAAACTGTTAACTTAGTTAGTAACTTAACTGTTGTAATTAAATGTATTGTTATTAAATGTAATTCGCGCGTATGCTGTAAAATATATGCGTAATGTATGCGTAAAATATTAATAGATGATTTTTTAAATTTCTATTTCACAAAGAAAAACGGAAAACTTCCAACGCTAATTGCATATCCGCAAAAATGTTATTTTTGTAAGTTGATTTTATGTTCTACAAGAATATTCAAAAAACGTTCTTTTTGTAAATAATCTCGTTGATGGTGTCGTTTTTTTTGTTCGCGGTATTTCGCGAACGAATATGGTTCTAATCTTGACCTTCTTCTATAAATTGGTATATTGTTAATTGCATTTCTATTTATCGATCCTACATTTGTCCTACTCTTTTCATTAACAGTTTCATTAACATCATTTCCATTAACATTAACATTTTCATTTTCATTAATATCATTATTTCCAACTTCTTCAATTTCGCGGATATGAAATCCATTAATATTTGAAGAAAATGATACTAGGTTAATTTCTGGCCTAATTTTAAAATATTATCAAGTCTCAAAGTGGACCCACTGTTGCATTGCCGCGCCCTTACGATTGTTATCCTTGATTTGTTTGTACTTTTTCCTCAAACTTTTCCATTTTGAACAACACTATTCTGCTGTTATATTATATCCAAATTCATTTATGGTAGCACAAATTCGTTTCCATACATTCTTGGTTGTGTGTTAAAATCTTTTTGACGACAATCAATTTCTGACAACAATAATGTTGTTATTACTTCAGTCCATTGTAACTTTCCATCTAAATAGAAAAGAAATTAATATTTAGATACAAATATTATACAACAATAATGAAATACTAACAATATTAAATAAATATATATCACCTGCATCAACATTTCTTAAGATGTTCGTGTCAAAATCCATAACTTTTTCGTGTTCTACTGAAAACAAGGTCAAAATAATATTAGAATAGATGATTAATCATAATAAAACTTAATTATTTTAAAAATATATATTCATAAATAATAATTTGTTAAATGTAGTTTAAATATAATATATATAATACGATAATGATAATAATAATCCTTTTATTGTTCTTATGTAATGCAAGATAACAAATTTTCCAATCTGAAAGCTACTTAAACTGTTATTGCAACGCTGAAAAAATGAAAGAAAAAACATTCAAATCATGCTTGCTAACTCACACTTTAAAACACAATAATTGCAAATGCTATCATACATATAATATATATACATGCTTGACATTTACTTATCAGAACATTTATTAGGCTGTTGTAGATAACCATTCAAATCTTCCACACTGTGATCAATTACTATCCTAAATATTGGACTATAATCTAGATTGGATTTAATTTATTTCCTCAGATGATAATTGAAACACACATATTTTAATTTAACTTCAAAATTATAAGTTGGAAACTAAAAGTACATAAAATAGGTAATATGAAATTGACAAGGAAGATTTGTTAATTGTCTACATGATATATTCAATAATATATTGATAATTGTCTACATGATATATCCAATAATATATTGATAATTGTCTACATGATATGTCCAAAGATATATAACTCAACGATAAAATATATAATTCAAGTAAAAAATTTGATATAAAATAAGAGGAAATAAATTCATATGATATATAAGTATAATTTTTTCAATAAAAAATAAAATATATGGCATACGTTACCTTTCTGTTATGTATACACACAAGACGATCGGCTCCTGCTCGCTCCTGTCACATTGAGACAGCAAGGGAGTAGGATTAGGAGCAGCCATGAAATATAATAGTTATAGATGAGAGTGTGTACTGCTCTCTTCAGATCCAGATCCAGATCTCACTCGCTCCACTCTCGTTATCGTAAGCACCCTCAAGCAGCGTGCCCACGTCATCTCACGCATGCGCTGTAGCATCGTAATTGCATCTAGCAACTCTGCCTTAAAGTTGTGCGATAGGGATATGTACCTAACCTCATTTCAGCTGCTCGTACAACAATCAATAAGTGTAATTATTTGAAACATATAATATATCATATTAAATTATGAAGTTTTATAAGGTAATTGATTTTGATGATTCAAAGTAGTTGTAACAAATTGTTTCAATAAAAATCTTTATAAATACATATACATATGTATAATATTTGTAACATTTATATAAATGTTTGTATAACATTAATAAAAGATTTTGCTATTTTGTTTAATAGAATCCTGAATGCATCCCATTAGAGATGTTAAAATTACATATTAAAAGTGATGGAGTTATTATTGCGGTGGAAGCATTGGTAAGAAGTATGTTATATATATATATATATGTTTTTTTTAATTATATATAAAAATTATTTTATAGATTGACCAATATTTATTTTGTTTAATTATAAAGTTTAAATGCAATATAATTTTATTTTTATATTGAAAATTTTATAATTTGAAAAAAATAGATATTTTAGATACATAATTTAGATATTAAATATACATATATATATGTGTATGTGTGTGTGTATGTGTGTATGTAAGTAATATTAAATTTTAGAGTCCAAAATGGACAGAAAAGCGTTATTTTTTACACTATGAAGCACCTGAGATATACGATGAAAATGGTTCAGAAATTGTGGGTTATAAAGAATATTGGATAGAACTTATCAACTATATTATTGAAGATTTAACTTGGTTATTGAATCTTCCATTTTATCGGTATAATACTTATATAATTTCTGTAACATTAATATTTCATGCAATTATTATTAAAATTTTCTTATTTTCTCTTTATAGATTCTGGTCTAATGTTATATATAATACCTCAATTATAGATACATTAGTATCTTTTCTACAAGAAGCTCCACCCTTTTATGCATTAGAAACTTTTCCTGCCATACCAGAAATGCTTGAAGCACTAGAAAAACTTCGTTATAATGTGCTTATGATTTTCATTCGTCTTGTCACAAACAAAGAAAGTTTAACAGAATACATACAACATCCTTATTTAGGAAATTTATTATATAATAATTATATATTTACAGTACCTATTATATTTGATTTATGTCAACTGTATGGCAGAGAAAATGACAAACTCATAGAGAAAATCTTACATAACATATTTAGTATGCAGCCGTTATACAATGATGATCTTGAAAAATCTGTCCCATGTCTTATAAAGGTAATGTATTATATTTAACAAAAAATTAAAATTCTTTATTATTATGGTGAAAGTCGATATTGCTAATTATAATATAAAGAATAATATAAAGGAAAATTTATTATTTAACATTTTGGAAAACAAACAAGTATTACATAATCAAAAGTTAAATAAGAACTTGGTAGTTAAAGAAATGGTACAGATTTTCAATATTTTAATAATATTTTATAAATCAGAATTCTTATTAATATATAGGCTCTTAAAAATGTGGAACAAAAATTTGAAGATTGCCCAACTGACACAATGGAAGCAGTAGCACTTTCAGAAAGAGGATGTGTTGCTGAGATGACACTGTATAAATTAGAAGGTTTAATATTGTATGTTTTGGATTTATCATCAACTCTTGTTATATTATTGAAATGTAATCCTCCAATAGTCAGCATATTTCATAGGGAAGATTTTATGAACAAGTGAGTAAATTTTTTTCTATTACTAATAATTGATATTACGTAAATTTTATGCAATCTTTAGAAACATTTAGAAACCGTTATTTAATTTTATGGGTAACCACACACATCTTTAATAGTTGTTATAAATTTAATACTAAAAGTACTCAAATAACATTACATATTGCTATTAATATTACATTACTTCTTAAATTTATTCATGCAACTATTTATTATACAGAGTGTCTGAGAAATTTTAGACCGATCAGTTTGTAGAACAGGTGAAATTGAACAATAGTCATAGAAAATTTTCCAAAAATTGTAATAGTTATTAAGCTATTAATTAAAATGTTTGGGCAATGAACGCACGGGAAACGGTAGGCCGGACTCGATAGAAGTATAAAACAATAGACAAAATGACTTCTGAATATTCATAGTAAAGACAACCAGCTGATTGTATGAGGCAGGTTAACACACAAGAATCTTTCCTCGTACTCAACGACAAGGTGCACTAATGCATCAATTATGCTTTATAGTTATGCACTAAACACCCAGTCTCACGTAACTTTTACGTCTTTTAGGTAATTAAGTATGAAATGTCCGATTTCGAATTAAAAGTTTGGTTTATTATATCTCAAACCAGAAATAGTAAAATTAATCAAAGTATGCACCTAAAGCATCGACACAGTTCTGCCATCTTAATGGTAGCTTATGCCAGCAGCGAAGAACCTGAAGAGCGAGTGACGATGAAATCGCGGAAGGCGTTTTCCACAGTTTGTTGAGAATTGAATATTTTTCCTTGCAAGAAGTGGTCCAGTGTCTGGAAGAAATGGTAGTCAGTTGGTGCAAGGTCTGGTAAATATGGTGGGTGATAGAGAGTTTCCAAGTCCAGCTGCTATAATTTGAGCAACGTTGTTTGTACTACATGTGATCGAGCATTGTCTTGCAAGAGGATTGGCCTGTCTTTTTTGACCAATCTCGGCTGCTTAATCATCCTCATCATTTCGTCCAGTTTGTTATAGTAGACATTCGCTGTAATCGATTGATCAGGTTTTATGAATCTATAGTGGACAATACCAGCGCTGGGACACCAAACAGACACCATTAGTTTTCTTTTGTGAATATTCGGTTTCGGACTATGTTTCGGCACTTCATTTATATCCAATCATTGTGCCGAACGCTTGCGATTATCGAAAAGAATCCATTTTTCATCACATGTAATAATACGATGTAAAAATGGTTCGCCTTTATGTTGTGATAGTAAAGAAAGACAAGTTTCGAGACGATTTCTCTTCTGATGCTCGTTTAATTCATGCGGAACCCATCTATCCAGCTTCTTTACCTTGCCGATTTGTTTCAAGTGCTCCAATATCGTTGGAATAGTAACGTTAAACCGTGCTGCTAATTCACGTGTTTAGTTTGAGATGTATCCGCTTCCACTACAGCTTTCAGCTTACCATTATCCACCTTGGTCTCGAGTCGCCCACGTGGCTCATTTTCAAGATTAAAATCGCCAGAACGAAACTTCTCAAACCGTCGACGTACTGTGCGTTCATTAGCCACATCTTCACCAAACACTTCGTTGATATTTCGAGTTGTCTGCGCTGCATTGGTTCCACGACGGAACTCATGTTCCAAAATAACACGAATTTTTAACTTATCCATGGTTACACAAAGATTGCTGTAACAAAAACATTTCGAAAGATAATCACAAACCAAAACATGCGTTTGAAAGAGTGATGATGTACCTTCATAAGAAAAAAAAACCAAGAACTGTAAAGGTGAAATATCAGAGATATCGATTGTCGAATTTAGTACTTAAGAAAATCGGACATTTCATATTTAACGACCTAATATATACTATACATATTTTATTTAAAATGTAGTAGTATATTTATTGCATGCATGGTCATCGACAGAAATTGCTTGTAATTTTTTATGTAAGTTTTAAAATGATGTGTCTAATAGGAGAAATCTTTCATTAGAAAACAAATTTTGCTATTGAACTAACAGATATATCTTGAAATAAAATTTTAACCTTTCTATCTACAATAATATGTACATAACATATTATATACATAACATATTATATATTATATACATAACATATTATATATTAATATTAATTGCATTATTTTTATTTGCTAGAATACTTTCAATATATGGAAATACAATATCTCAGATGTATAAGACATTAGACAGATTAGCACATAATGATAAAGATATGCCAAAATATATTGAACTAAAGCATTATTTGGATGTAACCAGAGTGGAAATCTTGAACCTTTACCGAACTATAGTGTATGAACCTATATCAAATATTCAAAAGAAAATGTAAGTTTTCAAAATATTTTTTATATTTAAAAGTGGCTATATAAGGTGGTCCATTTTAATCGACAATTGAAAATATTTCGTCAGGTAAGGCAGATCGCGAAAAATGTTTCAAACAAAAATTGTAATGTTCAGAGGGGGACGTCTGACGGTGACCTTGGCTTCCCCTTGGATTGTCGTTTGAAGATCATGTAAAGGTGAACTTTAAAATCCTAAATGGAACCCCTCATTTGTTATTGCATTTTCTTGTAGCCCTTGTCGAGACGTTTTCAAAACACTACCTACTTTTGTCTTTTGCGTAAGCCATTCCCAAGATATGAAACTTCAAAGTTGACATACCGCCGGCATTTACATTATCCGATGTACACCGCGGGGAGGTTGTTCGGTCGGATTTGTACATCATAGTGGCCTTAAAAAGGGCCGATTTTGTGTGTGTGGGGGGGGCTCATTCATCATAGATGTTCGAAAACGCCATCGACAGCTCGGTACACTCGAACTCGCTTTTCGAAACTTTCGATAAGTTTCAGAAGAATGTTTGCTGGAATCGCTCGGCACGCGACTTCTGATGCGATCTATTATATCCTGCCGCGTCGTTGGCGGTTGAAGAAACACTGCGTTTTTCAAAAATCTCCACAGATAAAAATCCGGAGGAGTAAGATCGGCTGATTTTAGTGGCCACTAAATTGGACCGTCTCGACCTATCCATCGATAAGGGAAAGTGGTATCGAGGTGATTCTCGAAGGAAATTAAACTATGATGTACAAATCCGACTGAGCAACCTCCCCGCGGTATACATCGGGTAATGCGAATGCCAGCGGTATGTCAACTTAGAAACTTCATATCTTGGGAATGACTTACGCAAAAGACAAAAGTAGGTGTTTTGAAAACGTCTCGACAAGGGCTACAAGAATATGCAATAAAAAATGGGGGTTACATTTAGAATTTTAAAGTTGACCTTTACGTGACCTTCAAACGACAATCCAAGGTCAAGCCAGGGTCCCTTTCTGAACCCTATAACTTTTGTTCGAAATATTTTTTGCGATTTGGCTTACCTGATGAAATATTTTCGATTGTCGATTAAAATGGACCACCCCTATTACAGGATGTCCCATTTTATTTTTGACAGTCAAGTATCTCGAAAAATATAAAAGATACAGAAAAACGTTTCATACAAAAGTTGTAAGATTTTGAGGGGAACATTTGATGGTGACTTTGACCTTGACCTAGAAATGAAATTTGAAGGTTAACTAAAAGTTATCCTTCAAATCACGTCTTCATCTCAGCCACATATATAGCAAAGAGTCTGCTGTCTTTTATCTTCGCTGACACATACACACGCACACGCGCGTACAAACACAAACACACACACCCAAAAGAGGTGTAAATCCAACCGGGCAACTTCCGCATGGTACATCTTGGGTAATGCTAATGCCGGCGGTATTATAATATACTTTTAAGCCTCATAACTCGAGATGTATTTAACAAAAAAATATTTAATTATAGTGTTTTGGAAAGCTCTTGAGATAAACTACATGAATATGTAACGAGAAATAGGGGTTTCTACTTATACTTTTTTAGTTGACTTTTAAATGACCTTCACATTTCACTCCTAGGTCAAGATCAAAGTCACCATCAAATGTTCCCCTCAAAATCCTCCAACTTTTTTATGATACATTTTTCTGTATCTTTTATATTTTTCAAAATATTTGACTGTCAAAAATAAAATGGGATACCCTGTATATGGTGTATTCTAAAAATTCCGGAATGGCCAATTATTTTAGAAATTATTATTTTATTGAACATATGTTTTAAACAAAACTGATAATGTTAAAAAAAACTATTAGATAGTAACGTTAATTTAATTAAGAAATAATCTTGAAAAGTCTTGTCAAACTTCATTTGAAAATGTTGGAAACCTCGAATTTTATTTATTAGATTCTGCTAACTATGGTTTTCAGATGTTTTCACAAAGATATAATATTACATTATTTAGTCAAGTATAGCCAATATTGGCGTTACCTATGACCACATGATGATTATCTAATTAAATTTGCACTGCTTGTGCGCATTATACATATGAGTAGGCGAAGGAAGCATTCTATTCATTATTACATTAAATATTTAAATTGATGTTCTTTTGGTATTTGACATAGTAAGATATATTTAAAATATTTCTTAAAATACTAAATGTAATGAAATTTATGTCAGCTACCAATATTTAAGTATATTATATTATAATGTAGCAATATTAGCCTATTACTATTCAAAATGTCATTCAAAATGCTTTTGAAAATGTTTATTTTTAACGAAATAGACATTAAGCACTTTTCGAGTTTAAATATCCATAATTGTCTAATTTATTTTGTTAATGGATATATTGTTATAATGAATGTCAATGGATTAGTAAATGAGGTACGAAAGAATATTTATTGAGATTTGTGTACTTAAAACCATTAGAAATTAGAAATTATGAAACGAAATTTACAACATAGGCGATTTAAAACAAATAATATATAATATTCCAAATTTCAATATACTGCAATTTTTGAGTAATGTTTTAAATACATTTTACGCAGTAAAAATATATAAGTAATAGAAAATTATCAGTTTAAACATTTATTATTTTTGTCACATAATGAGTAAACTCATAACCATCTATAAATAGAGATGTATTAAAAGAGATCAGGTAAGAAAAAGAGGGGGGGAGAGGGAGAGAATGGGGTCGAGGGAGAAAGAGGGAGAGGAAACTTTTGGAATGCAAATATGCAGATATATAATGTTAAATAATATATAATATATAACGATATAATTTACTTAGTAACTTTACGTCTTACTTAGGGATACTATAACAGAAGATGAAGTCAGAAATTTTATAGATCAATATCTGTATTCATTGACAAATGCTATATCTGAAAAAGAATTTATTATAGATTATCACAAATTTTATCCGATTGATTACGACCTTGAAGTTGTATCGAAATTTTACCCCGACGTGTATCCTTTTTAAAATAATAATATATTATATAGTTATAATAATAATATATGTAGCGTAATTGTGAAAAGTTTACTTTATTAAGGGGCTACATACACTCTGGATGGTAAAAAAATCGATTTTTCAATTTTTACATTTTTTTGAATTTTTGATGTTTCTAGAATATTTCTCTAAAGTTTTAGTTAAAAATATATTAAAATGACAGAGATACAGCCGTTTTTGTATAAGTGCGCAACGCGCGCGTTCGTACGTTTTCCTGCGGCAGCTAGCGCATTGCACGTTGCAACACGTCCATTTATTCCGTCGCTCATTTATTTTATCGCAGAATGAAGCATTCCTTTAGTAATAGGCCGAATATCGGAGTATTCTATTACTATACAATTTTATTGTTGCGAAGACAATGTTTTCTAATTTTATGCGATGAGTTTTTCCCATTTTGCACGATATATAAAGTGTTCAAAAAAACAACATAGGTGTTCGAAAAATTGGCGGAATTATAGATATGCCATTTCCAGTTAGTCAAACTGCATATTGATTTAATCATAAAACATATTCATAAAAGTTCTCAGACAATATGCAATTTGGTATTCCGTAAAGCTATTGAAGAAAAAGATGAAATATTAAAGAATGCTAATGATAATGAATCTCAAGGATTAATTATATCAGGCGACGGTACTTGGAGAAAACGCGGTTTTAAATCTATGTTGGTATGTCAAGTCTCATTAGACATTATACTGTTGAAGTTCTTGACGTTATTATAAAATCAGCATATTGCAAAGTATGCGAATATTAACCTTCAAAAACAGGCACGGAAGAATATGAAGAATGAAAAACAAATCACAAATGTCTTGCAAATCACAAAGGATCAGCTGGTACGATAGAAGTAAATGTGATATGCGAAATATTTAAAAAATCAATTGAATTTTACAATGTTTGATATACTAATAATATAGGAAATGGCGACTCTAAACTTATGCAAGAATTGTAAATAGTAAGCCTTATGATGATATACCCATACTATAAAAAAATGCATAGATCATATCCAGAAGCGAATGGGAAGACGACTTTGTGAATGCAGAAAAAATAATAAGCTTGGTGGTAGAAATAAACTAACTGCTAAATAAATTGATAAATTAATAGTATATTATGGACTTGCTATTCGTAAAAACTGAATCATTGGAAGAAAAGTAAATCATTGGAGGAAATGAAAAACGCTATTTGAGTAACTTATTATCATTATTCTACAAATAAAAATCCTCAACATCATTACTATCCGTAAAATATTGATTTATGGTGTGACTGGCAGTGAATGAATAAAATATCTCCATCAACAATTAAGGATTTTATACATGATTATCAGCCTTTTGACAAAGATGTAGCGAACGCTCTTCACAAAATTTATCAAGATTTAAGCAATGAAACTGTTAGAACGATGTATTGACAGATTTATGCAAAACAATAATGAAAGTTTTAACATTTTGATTTGGCACATTGCATCCAAAATATTTCACAGCGGTACTGAAATTGTGAAGACAGCCACATATATCATTTTCCCCATTCACATTACACATTTCAGTTGCATGTATTTATAATGAAGGTTTTATATTAGTATTGAAAATTATGAGTGATATGAATATAAGATGTAGTCGAAATGCGAAAACCAATATGCTAGTGCAGAGGACGATTGCCGGCGTAAAAACAATATACGTTATGTGCGTGTCTACAAAAGCGGCTTGACTAGAACAAAAACTAAATAAATCTGCTAACGATAATTTCCTGGATACTGAGGATTTACTATATGGACCAGAAATCAATGATTCCGTTTAAGGTAAACAATTTTGTCGTTCATTCACTTTAAACCTTACTTAAAACTTTAGACACATTTTTTTCGAAATTATGTTTTGAAAACTGGTACCAAAGATTTCTCAAAAACTATCGAACCGACGTCCTTGAGACTTAACATGCTTATTCAGCATATTGAAACGTAAGTAGCATCAATAAGGCATAAGGGTTTTTCCATTTATCCCTTTATTCACCTGTATTTATAATTGTAATATTAATATCGTAAAAAAGTAGGCTATAAAATTCAAATATGTGCCATTTTGTTTAGAAGTAAAATTTTTGAAAACGGCTACGATCCTGCGTTTTTTAATGTAAGAAAATATATGATTGTTTGCATTCTAATACGTTTTATAACTGTCTTTTCTGACACCGATTTCCAGATCGGCGCATAATGTCTACAATTCCAGCTCTTATATTGTAGCCATTTTGAATTATTATGAAGCATAAAAAATTAAAAAATAATCTACAATGTTAATATTTTTTAATGAAAAAATAGTAGGTTAAAAGGACTTCACGTTTACGAGAAAAAATCGTGAAAAATAGTTTTTTTTTCAAGACCAGAATATATGTAGTCCCTTAAGAAGATTTTTCTTATTCAACAAAAAACCTAGGTCTATTTAAATGTTTATATACACACACGTACGCGCTTGCACTCACATACATGTTAATATGAATCTGATATATTTACGGTTGTGGACAAACAAGTGTTCCACAATTTTTATGTGTTTTATAGTATATCCATTTTATCTAATGGCAAATTTCTTTCGCTAGATTAAATGTATTACACATTTACTTACTTATGTAAGAACAAACAACCTTTGTGCTTACGACCGTTAATATAAAAATTTAATATAAAATGAAATAGAACATTTCTAACATTTTTAACTCAGTATCTGCGGACTATATATTAGGAGTGTGATTTAGTTTTGTAGGTTTTGTAAGTAGTTTTGTAGGTTTTATAAGAGATAGCACTAATGTTAGTTTTTTCGAAGACACTCCAACCACATCTATTATTTCTTAATCAGGGGTTGCTAACCGGGGGTATAAAAAAATATTCTTGGGGGTGCGAGGAAAAGTGATTGTAATTAATAATGATTAAGATGAATTCTGGAATAATCCGGCATTTTTACCATTAAATTAAAAAACATGATATTAAAATTATATATTTTTTACGTATTTGTACGTATACGAGGTCTGTCCTAAAAGAAAATTGGATCAATTCCAAGGAAGAATCTTTTTATCGTCGCAGAATCCATGTTTTGCTAGTAAGATGGGAAAAAGTTGTAGAAAACGAAGGAAAATATTTTGATTAAGGTATTCGTTCATTATCTTGTTTAAGTAAATCCATTCTTTCGTAAATCCGAGCAAAAAAAACCTTCAAATCACACTCCTAATATTATTATGTACAATACATTACTCATTTCTACTTATACTTTACGATTTCTGAAAGCTCTCTGATATCCTTAAAAATAAAAAAGAAATAAGAAAAAATAATACTAGTATTCCTTACATATACTTAGTGATATGATGAACAGTGACTATATTTTAAATTCACTATATGTATCAATTGGAGACACTAAAATACCAACTAATATATCCTCCAAAGATATAACTGTAAGTAATTGTTTTAGAAATAACTATGTGTGGACAGATTTTATTATTAATTAACAATTTATTGTATGTTATCTTATAGATAAGTAATGCTGGATTTAGCGGCGTTCAAGATAATCAGCAAAATGAACATTGTAATAATGTGAGTTATAGAAATAAGGAATTGGAAACTATTTCGAATGATTCTGACCAATTGATGTCTCATATCTTGAAAGTAAAAGAAATTTTATGTGATTATGATGAAAATTTTATACAGGTGAAGATTTTATTCATGTATTTAATATTTGAATATACATAGGAAACTATATCATAATTTTATAAAATAATTATACATGTCAAGCAACATCTCGTAATATGTAGTAGACTATTTTTATGAATTTTATAAATACAAAGAAGATCAAATTAGATAAAATTAGCACGCATAAAAAATTAAATTAATTTAAAAATATCTAACCAAGAATCTCCAAGAAAAGGAGAAAAAGAGAAAAAGACGTGAAAAAGAGCGTATTGACTATTTATATTAAATTATACATAAAACTTGTTTTTTAATACTACTCCAAATATTGTTTTACATTATAATAAATATTGCAATAAAATATATAATTGCAAAATCTATATATATATTATGTAAAACAATTAGAGGAGCGCTTCGAAACTTTTTTACTGATTTTTATAAGACCATGTCTCAGCTTGGGAGAATCGTAGGACACTTCTACTTGGCGCATTTTAAAGGGTGAAACCTCAACTTTAAAGTGCATATAATGATTTCGTCCATCTCATCGAACTATCTTTTTTATGAAGACCAAAATCAGATCACGGAGAAGTCCTGGCAATTTCACATTTTTGTAGCCTTTCATGGAAAAATCAGAAATGGGGAGACAAATATCATCCTATAACTTTTGAAGTGAAAAACTTTTCCTTAAAAATGACGCAAAGCGCATTATCCTATCATGTTTAGAAGCCGAGTTTTTGCATTTTATAGTTCCCCTTGTATTTTGCTAGATATTGGACAGTACCGCCGGCGCATTTGCGTTACCTGATGCACCATGGGGAGGTTGTTCGGTTGGATTTTGCCCATCATGTATATGTTTATCCTGTAAAATGTGCTAAGTAGAAGTGCCCAAGTAGAAGCGCTCCTCTAATTGTTTTGCGTAGTGTATATATGTGTGTATATATGTATACAGGTATCTCAAAAATACCGGACCCCCTGGATAACTTTGCAGGATCAAATTTTCATGAAAAACTTTAAATATAAAAATTATAGGAAATCGAGCAACGGGCTTGATGGTGACATTGAATTTGATCTCGGCCATGATCTTTAAGGTCATTTGGAGGTCAACTTGAAAAATTTAAATGGGAACCCCTATTTTTATTACACTGTTTTTTTCTACCAATTAATTTGAATAGCTCTTGTCTAAAACATTTTTTTATTTGCCTAATATTTTTTGAGATATTTGAGGAAAACTTGATAACTTTTTCAATATTTAACTTACGATATCTCGCTAACTATTTGTCGGAAAAAAAAGTGGTACTAGACTTTTTTGCCCTATTTAATCTCAAGAATATATTGTTACAATAGCGCCATGACTTTTGTTAACTTGCTGATTTTTGGAAATTTCCAAGTCAGTAAGTTAACAAAAGTCAGGGCGCTATTGTAACAATATATTCTTGAGATTAAATAAAGCAAGACAGTCTAATACCATTTTTTCTTCCGACAAATAGTTAGCGAAATATCGTAAGTTAAATATTGAAAAAGTTATCAAGTTTTCCTCAAATATTTCAAAAAATATTAGGCAAATAAAAAAATGTTTTAGACAAAAGTTGTTCAAATTAATTGGTAGAAAAAAAAACAGTGAATAAAAAATAAGGGTTCCCATTTAAATTTTTCAAGTTGACTTCCAAATGACCTTGAAGGTCTTGGCCAAGATCAAATTCATGGATCAGAAATGGAAATGCCATAGAACCAGAAATGTTTAAAAATATTCATAGCAATTTTCGACAAAGATTTTATTAATTGTATAGAAGTTGGTAGACGGCACTTTGAATATTTAATAAAATAAATCTTTCATTATATTGTGGATTTTCAATTTTTCGTACTCAAAATCTCCAAGTGCAATTTTTTAAATATTTACTCAAATTAAAAAAAATAAACTGTTATGATAAGAATTAAAATATCTTTGAAATGATATTATTTGATCTCTTGTTATTTAAGATCTTTTTATGGGTGGCGACCTCACTTAACCGTTTGAGTCCCAAGCAGCGCGATCGCGCTGTTTAGATTTTATGTCGAGAAAACCCAGTACATTCCGATCATTGTGGACAACTGACGGTGCGTTACCGATTGTCGAAGTCGCGCGCTCAGATTTACTGAAGCAAGTATATCACACCGATCCTTTTAATGTAAATAGTACATTTTATAATAGGTAGAATAATACTATAATAATGCAATAATACATTACAAAATAAAAATTTTTATTTCATTGTTATCTTCTCAATAATTTTTATCGAACAAAACTTGAAATATTTATAAATTTACAGTACGCATATGTAATAATACAGATGTATTTTATAAAATAACGAATAACAAATTAACAATATTTTTGTGTTATGAACAAATAATTTAAATGGAGAGTAACAATTATAATTTGTAACATCGGTGTTTATCAAAACATGTTGGATGGATTCCTTTTGCTTCGTTGCTCCGTTGCTTCGTCTAATCATTTTGAAACACACAATTATTAACAATGAGAAACACTTACGCAAGAATACGTCCGATCGCTTTGCAAACTACAATAAATGTGACAGAGCGATGAGAAAAAGACGAGAATCGCGTTACCTAACAAATACAAGAAGCGGTATTGGTCCGATTGGGATTCATCGATGTAAAATAAACAAAGCGCTATCGCGCTGCTTGGTATTTCTCGACCTAAAATAAAACAAGCGCTATCGCGCTGCTTGGGTCTTTTCATACTCATTTATAGAAAGCGCGGTTGCGCTGTTTGGGATTCTTCGACAGTGTTTTTTCAATACCCCCTGGGACTCAAACGGTTAAGGAGATGAAAAGATTAAATTTATAATATTTATATAACCTCCTTGAAAACGATATCGAAATATACCGGTATTTTTAACAAATATCAATTGATTACAGAATAATCAGGGTGGAAAGTTTTCGTTGGCAAACCCTATATATATATATATGTGTGTACGTATATTGCATATTGAAATATTGTTTACAATTTTCAGATATGTTTGAAGCATTACGATTATAACGTTGAATCTGTGATAAATGCTGTTTTAGAAAATACTTTACCATCTAATTTGAAAAAATTAAATGGAACATTACCACACATAGTACCAGATTCTTTGGTAAATAATTAATACAATATAAAATTTGTTTTGTATTAATAAAGAAACAATCATTTTATCTATATTGTGTTCTTTTAGGAATCGCCAACTGATGTCAATTCAGCTATTAATGACCAAAGATTAAATATTTTGGATAATGATGAATTACATCTTCCAGCTTTATCAAAAATGTATAGAAAGGAAAGGTAAATCTAATTTTACATATACATATAATCTCATTAAATACCGAATAGAGGGTGCTAATTTCAAACAGATTAAAAATCTTGAAAACTAAATAATATCAAGGTCCGTTTGTTGGGTTATACTGTTTCGAAGAAGACATATTTTGATAAAAAAGGATACTTTTGAGTAGAAGTATCAAGGTAAAATAAAGGTTAAATTATATTTTTTAATGGAACTCTAATTTTTTATATACCTACATTTGTAATTCTTGTGACAGTGAATTCAATGAATACATACCGAAAGTAATTAGAAACATAAATTGCAAAAAAACCGTAAATAAAGCAAGAAAATCTGGTACCACATTTTCTGCCGATAAATAGTTAGCGAGATATCATAAGTTAAATATTGAAAAAGTTTCAAGTTTTTCTCAAATATTTCAAAAAATATTAAGCAAATAAAAAATGTTTTAGACAAAAGTTGTTCAAATTAACTAGTAGAAAAAAAGTGTAATAAAAAATAAGGGTTCTTATTTAAAAAACGCAAATTGACCTTCAAATGACCTTGAAAATAGAGATTAAGGTCAATGTCAAGATCATCATAAAGTAGCTCACTTAATTCCTTACAACTTTTATTCAGATCATTTTCCTTGAAATTTCAATACTGAAGAGTTATTAAGGTGGTCCGTTACTTTTGGGACACCCTGTATATTATATTGCATATTATATTTCTTGACATTGTGACAATATAATAGTTATATCATTATGCTTGCTGATATACATACACAGGCACGCGCATGTATGTGTGTGTATAATTTATGTCGAAAGATTTCATATGGCTATATTAATTGTATTTTTCTTTACTTATAGAAAAGAAAAATATAAAGACGCAAATGAAATGTTGAATGATAAATCTTGGATTGATAAATCTATTTATGGGAAGTATAATATTATAGATGAAGTGGATGATTACGATGATGAATATGATGATACATACGACAGCCATAATATTCGAAGTGCATTAGATTCTACAGAAATAGAACCTAGACCTTTTACTACACCAAGAGTTGGTTTAAATATTTTACTCTTATTAAATAATTTCATTATAATTTATAAATATTATTTTGTGTATATGTAACAAATTTTATTTCCAGGTATTATGCACAAGCGATAAATCTAATGCCAATTCCGAAGATGAAACAGAAATTGAAAACGAGAAATCAATACAAAATATTGATCATTTTATACAAAATCCCATGGAAATGCGGATTAAAATGGAGCAACGAAAACAATTAAAAGGAAATCAAAATTCACATAATGTAGTCGGTATGTTTTAGACTTATTTATATAAATTTCCTCTTGCAATCCTTTATAATTCCAATAGGTTATTGGAATGTGTACTAACGAATATACAGGGTGTACCAAAAGTCTGGAACGTTCACTCAAGGTCAATTCAATGACACCATCTTATGTCTTCCCTCGAATCAAATAACTTGTCTGAAATATTTCTTTCTAGAATGCATAGTTTATGAAATATTCGACTGTTTCCAGACTTTTGGTATACCCAGTATATGCTTATATACGTATGCAGGCGTTAATGCAACTCAAAGACTTTTTTTTTCATTTAAGATAAATTTGGAAATCAGGAGCAAAATAAAGAAATACTTATTAAGGGACACAAAAAAAATACATATAAAGATTCACAGAGCAATCATAATCGTCGTACAGCTAATCAAATGAAAAAGAGACAAGGAATGATTCCGTTTTAGAGCTACGTATATCTGCAAATATGAAAAAGATGTATAATGTATAATGTATCGTTAAATAACAAATAAATAAATTAATGTGTATGTGTCTGTATGTATACGTTAGGGCTTTATTATTGACTTTATGCGTTCGAAAAGTCGTTTAACTCGGTGTTACTTGAGTTGGGTTGCTAGTGTAACCTCAACCTCAACTAACCCTACTCTACCCAGAGAGTTGGATTTTCGAACGCAGCCCAGTATGGTTATATTTCAATGCATCTAAAGCCAGCGGCACACGGTGCTTGTTTTCGTCGTGCTGGATTGCTTGCTGGAAAAAATTCTGCGTTTTGATTGGTACATTTCCGAAGATGGATGGAAATACACCAATCAGAACACAGTATTTTCATCCAGCAAGCAATCCAGCACAAAAACAAGCATCGCGTGCCACTGGCTTTATTGCGGTCCATTGTTTCGCTAATCTCTTCTGAGTTGAGTCTACGGCTTCTCGTTATCACGTGCATCAGCTTGAGAAATTTTTAAAAGTCGATCTCTCTACGTCATAACGTAAATACGTTTAACGCGTGATCTCCATCCCACTTCTGAATCTTATTTAGTTATAGGAAATTTTTGATGGAGATAGGCAAGGAAACGAATTACTCCCTTCAATATGTAAAAATTATAATATCTCTAAATAAAATGCTTTACAATGTGAAATTTTAAAAGCGTATACAAAAATAAAAAAAATAAATGACTTGGCCTAAACGCGGAAATACTAATTGTCTGCGGAACAAAGCGTAGCTGCTTAAATACGCTAACGAATTGTTTAATGCTTGCTGAACTAAACGATAAAAGATTTTTACACGTAACGAGTCGGAAGCAAAAAGCCCCTATCCTTTTGTCTCTCATTCTTTTATTAGAGATTTCTCTCCATCCGATTCTTTGTTTCTTTGTTTGTCTCTTTTTTTTTCTTTCTTTGTTTACTCGCTTCTTAAAGTTGCCGATAAGCCTGATTATCTGTCATGCTTATTTTGTTGTTTTGCCACGCGTTTACTGCATGATAATTAAATATTTCTTACTTCTTTTATTTCTACTTATTTTAATTATTTTACTTTTTATTACTACTTATTTTATTCATTGGACTAACAAGAAGTCCAAAAATATCTCAAAAGTAGCGCCACCTGTAAACAAAATGATAGTTGTTTTATGTCCCCTTTGAAACCATATAACTTTTGTCTAAAACATTTTTCTTTAAAATGTCGCGTTTATAAAAAAATAGGGTAACCTGGGTAGTCTGAGATTGGGCGACTGAGTCACCCTATATTTATTTTATATATATACATATATAAATTTAGATATATCTGAAAATAAATTCAAATAAAATTACATACAATTCTATGAATTTATAATTTGTTATGAACAAGACATCAATTTAAATAATTTTTAATTTGTATCAATCATAAATTTGTTTATAAAAAGATATTTTGTTATAACACGTATACATATACATTATTATAGATTATATATAATAAATTCCTATATGCATTTATTTTTTCTATTTTACACATTAAAGATTCTTAACATTAAAAACAGTTAAGGCAAAATAACAGATTATACATATATTAAGCACTTCATAAGACTTAGAAGACTACCTTTAACAATGATGATTTAATCGTATACAAGCCTGTATATCCTTAACATTTGCTAGGCCTAGTTCCAAACAAATTTTCTATTTACGTGTAATATATGTATATATTTATGCATCATATCTGTTGATTGGTCTGACAGTTATTCTGTCAAAATAATTCAGTTATAATACACAAATATGTAGACATATTGTGCATAATTGGAAACTTTTTTGGAACTAGTCTTAATAAATATTAATATTATTATGTCTGATTGTGTTACAGGCATTTTATTATCTAATTTTATTTCCATTGGAGAAAGTTAAACGAATATAATCTGTGGATGGTGGAAGGGAATATAACCATTATAATTTTCAAAAATATCTTAAAATACAATCTATATATATGTATATATATATTTATATAAAAAGCTATGTAAAGTAATAGTAATAATATATCATCAGTAATAATATGTATCTTAAATTATATCAGCAAACAATTTACAAATTTTTTTGAAGATATTCGTCAAATAGAAATATGGAAACAGATGGATCACGTTCTCCCAACATCTTCTTTAAGTCATTTGTATAACCTGCTAATTGTCTTACACGTTGAGACAATGATTCTGTAAAACGTTCTTCAATGTAATGCGCAACAGCTGCATCCTGTTTGGTATGGTGCTGTGCTTGAGCATGGATACGTAATGTTTCATCAGCAAGTTGCTTCTCAGTATCAAGTGCTTTAGATAAACTGTTCAATTCATTTAACTCCAATACTCTGCTCTCTTTAACCTATAAATAATGATATGGATTATAATATATCTGTTCTCTAAGCACAAAGATTAAGCATAAATTGGTAATACTTACATTTTTCTTAAAGCGTGGAAGCTGATTAAAGTTCATCTTACCACCACGCTGTGCAATATATTTTATCAAATCTATAGCATCTTCCCATGATTGGTCTGAAAGTTTGCGATATAATCCTTTAAATCCTTCTCGATTAGCTTCATAATTTCCAAAATGTGTAGACATCAATAGAAACTCAAAGCTGGTTTCAATATTAGCATTTGTATATGCTTGAAGATCAGCTTGAAGTACATCAATAGCTCCATATTTGGCATTACAATTTGGAATTAATGGGTTATCTAGAAACATCAATAAAAAATTCTTATCAAAACTATAATTTTATTTAAGAAGTAACTTTTATCACAGAAATTTTAATGTTAAATCAGAAAAATTTCCTTTTTCATATATATATGCACATATATTATATATTATAACATATATAACTTTAATTCTGACGAAACTTAAATAATTTATATAACTGATTATTTTTTAAATTTTCATTACATCATATATCTTTTTTTATTATAATATATCTATATACCAGTTGCAGTGGGTCTAGTACTGCAAGCATTCTCAACATCATTGTAACAATATTCTGCAGAGGTCATTACCAAAAGAATAAACATTATCCCATAGGCCAACATTTTTGCTGAAATTTGATACATCATAATAATAAAGTATAAATCTTTATATATATTTATACAATATTCCAAAATTATTATATAAAAATGTTAACAGATCAGACAAAATATGTCAAGCATATAATTAGTTTTTACTTTTTATATAGTTTTACATTTTATATATTTATTATTTTATAGTAAATCTATAGTCAATGTATCTATTTTCGAATGACAATACAAGTGCCTTAACAGTATAAAAATATTTCATTTAGGAATATTGTTAAAAAATATCGAAAGAATGAGTAATGATATTTGTATTACTAATAGTCCCGAATACGATAACGAAAATAGAAATTCGTTCAAAGGTCGATCATGGATCATGAGGATGATTAACGATCTTGCGCAATATCATCGTATCGGGCCTTAAATAAAATCAACCATATACATGTATACAATTTGTGACGCAGTTGGCATATTATGCTATAAAAAATGCACAGTACTATTTGTACGCAATATGAAAAAGATGACAATATAGCGTTTTCGAAATTTCCTTTTCTTTACCGTATTCTTATTTACTGAGAAATATTATCGGTCTGAATTTGTGTAACGTACCTTTCTTGTGAATGATCGATACGCACATTCGATGGGAAGTAACGTGAATACTCTCGCTTCGACGTTCTCCCAACAATGAATGTCGCCAACTGGCGATAGGACTTTTCACTTAATCATAGTCAGCTGACGGGGCGGAGCGCGCGCATGCGTGTTCATTTCATACATTAGGTGACGGGTGTGAGGGGCAGTGAAATAGAAGGCGAATTCCAGTTTCCTCGTCCTCCCCGCTCATGTGGTTGAAGTGCGTATGTTGCACATTCGCCAACCGATTATTGTTAGCTGATCGATGGTCGTAAGACGCGTTTAGTCGCTACGCATTTTCTTATCTAACTCCAACGAAGGTAGCCTTCTATACCAGTGCGTATAAAGGTTGCTTCTGAACGAGGCGATTGGACTGTCGTGCATCTATTCATTTACTAGAAACTGCATTCTTTTTTTCGGGAGAAGTCGCATAACCTCATTTACGACAATGAAGTTATTTTATGTCTTTCTCGTTGCCTTGGCCTATGTCAGTAACACTCTCGGAGATGGATTAAAATGTAAGTCTTTGCAATTGATAATATCTTATTTGTTTACTTTGTGAACTCATGGCATCATTCAATATTTTGTTATTCTATTTTGTGTAGTTACATTATTTATACTAAATATATATTTAGTAGAGAAAAGAATAAATACGACCATAAAATAGTTTCAGAAGTACAACTATAATAAACAAAGTATATTTCTTTTATCTTTCTATGAATTACGAAAAAGGAATTTTATCACAGAAAATTTCAGTTTTCTATTCCAAATTCAAACCTAAATATAATAAAGACGATATATTTTGAACTTACAAAATCTTTATATATATTGTGGAGATAGAATGACTCTGCATAAAGTGTATGAAACATGATAGATTATTTTAATTGAGATACAAGACTTTTCTTTGAATATTGCTCATGCTGTTTCTCCTTTCAATTGTATTAAATAAACTCTACTAATTACAACGAAAAAAAAATGATCACAATCATATGCAATATTTGATTGTAAATATTTCAGAACTACAAATTTCTTTAATAAATATATATACGTTTTTAATATTGTACTTATGTGTATATATATATATATATATATATGTATTCTTTTAAGCTTATTCGATATATATCTTTATAATATATGCATATATATAAGTTTAATAATATTAATTAATAATATTAATAATATTAACTTATTAACATATCATTTTTATTAATTAGAATTTAAATTTCATATATAGATATATAAATTATATAAAGTATTATAATTATATTATAAATTATTTTATTAAGTATAAATTGTTGATAAATTAATGAGTATATTCTTTGAGAAACTACATATATTGCAATCTAAAGAGAACAAATTAACAGACTATAGTGATTGCTTTCTATTTGATCTTTGTCCCTTACTGATTCATGCATAGTAGATAAGGTTTGTCACTCCCCTAGCTTACGCAATTTATTAGGAAATGTTGAAATATGTTTGATGTATATATGTTTAAATTAACTTTGCGTCATTGCATAATGCTGATGTTACTTAGATTTATTAAAGCTCATCTGTGATATGTATGAATTATAATGCTTTGACAAACAGTAACTTAATTATATGATATATAATTTTAATACTTAATTTATTGTTTTATTTAATTAATTAATTAATTTTAATTTATATTTAATTATATATAATAGTAGGCTGTTAGGTTTTAAATAAATTATATCTTTGAGTTATCTTCACAGGAAAATAATCCATAATATAGGAATCTAGAATGATAATTTATTGGTTTACCTCTTTCAATATAAAGTTGTAGAAACATTCGTGAGTGTGTTTCATATAATTCAGTCGTAATGCGCAGGCACATCTTAATGGAATCATAGGTTTTGCTACGTTAAAATATTGACATTTTAAAGAAGTTTAGATATTTTTTGCTGCAAAAATATATATTCTATTTCTTACTATATTATAAAATAATGGTGTATACAAGGCATATAAAAAATATTTGGACAAACTTTGGGGGCAGATTCCTCACATCAAAACAAGGAAAAGAATCATGTAAACATATATTTGGAAATGCTTCATTTTTGAGTTATTATTGAAAAAACATTTTACAATAACACATCTGTTTGAAATTGTCAGCTCATAGAAAGTGTTCAAAATGTCTTCTTGCTTCTACACATGCATGAACTCGTCGGATCATGGACTATCGCACCCTTTCAAAGATTTTCACATGGTCGAATGGTTTCGCAGACTTCCATGATATGTTGATGAAGCATCTCTGAGTTTGGAATTTCTGTTGCATAAACTAATTCTTTTACGTGCCCCTACAGATAAAAATCCAAAGGATTGAGGTCGGATGAACGTGCAGGCTATGGAACTGGTCCTTCCCTACCTATCCATTTTGTCATGGTAGATATCAGTCAGTGCATCTCGAATAATGTGACTAAAATGTGCTGAACGCGTTGAACATAAACTTTCAATAATAACTCAAAAACGAAGCATTTCCATATGTTTACATGACATTTTTTCCTTATTTTGGTGTAAGGAACCCGCTTCCAAAGTTTGTCCAAGTATTTTTGATACACCCTGTACATTGTACATTGGCGCGAGGCCAATGATATAGCAATTACAAAATTTTTAATGTTTTACTGCATTGTATCAGCATGGATTTTGGTTTAAGCTTGGCGCTTCCGTTGTTTGACTTCTAGTGTTGATTATGTAATTATTGAATTTAAGGTAAACATACCGAATTACGCCGCTTTAAGCAGAAACTAATTTTTGAAAGTTTACTTTTAAAACAGTAAATTGGTGTTAGGTAAGACTATGAATCTTATTAAAAGTTATTATTGTGAATTAGCGGATATATAAATTAGAAATAAACAAGATTATTTATTTATATAAAAGAATTAAATGTGAACTGCAAATGTCTCGAATTATATCCACTGAGATTATAGAATGTCCCAATTTATGTCATTAATTATATACCAAATGACGATAAATAGAAAAACAAGGTGTTTTAATAATAAAGCGAAATCCTTTATTTGCTGAAAAACGTTAATAATTTTATTTGCCGAGCTGCTCATCCAAATGCCATGTTGCTTTCTTAATTATTATGCTGTTACTTTTAAAAACGCACGTAAACGTACGCAACGAAGACGTGATTTTGAAGTTGAGGTACTAACAAAATGCACATTATTGCCAAATTGAAGGATGTTGAATACTCAAAATATATTACAAAAAAATGATAAATGTTCTTTTCATTATGTGTTACATTAAGAAACCAAAGTTTTTTTCAAAATATGATTACATAAGTTATAATTTTATATATTAAAAATATTTAGTTATATTGAAAATATTGTTAAACGTTAATCACAAAGCATTTAATTATCAAATACACATATATATTCTATATAAGATACTATATGAGAGTTACAGAATTTAAGTTTTGATCTATGTTAATAGTATTAAATGAAAAGGACATCATGGAAGACGTTATGCTTATATAAAATATTACTTAAAGAAGTAAAGAAAACAAAAATATATTGCAAAACAAATTTGGAAATAAGTGCAAAAATAGATTTTTGTCCGGCACTTGGCCACTGTGCAGTGGCGTAATTCGGTACGTTTACCTTATTATTTCTAAGATATTTCGGTATCTAAATTAAAAAGGCTTCAAATATAAGCGCTTACAAAATTAGGATTACGTTTAAAAATATTAAACTAACTTTTCACTTTAATGTCTGCATTCACCTTAATGTCTTAAAAAAAAAAGTATATAGAGGATGTATAAAAAAATACCGGGACGGCGAAATATCTCGAAAACTAAACATTTTAGAGAAAAATGTTTCAGACAAAAGTTGTACGGTTTCAAGAAGGTCGTTTCAATGAAACGATTGTATCGTTTTGTTTACAAATGGCGCTACTTTCGAGATATTCATTGATCATTACTTTTCTTAAATGGAAACCCCAATTTTTTGTTATACCGTCTTTTTCTACCAATTAATTTAAACAACTTTTACCTGAAACATTTTTTTATTTGTCTAATATTTTTTAGATATATAAGAAAAACTTAATAATTTTTTCAATATTTAACTCATGATATCTCGAATTATTTGACGAAAGAAAATGTGGTACTGACTTTTGCAAATTTCAAAATCATCAAATTAACAAAAATCAGGGCGTTATTGTATCAATATATTCTTTCGACTAAGTAGAGCATAAAAGTCTAGTACAACTTTTTCTTCTGACAAATAATTAGCGAGATATTGTGAGTTAAATATTGAAAAGGTTATCAAGTTTTCCTTAAATATCTCAATAAATGTTAGGCAAATAAAAAGATATTTCAGATAAAAATTTAAATTAGTTGATAGAAAAAGACGGTGTAATAAAAAATTGGGATTTCCATTTAAGAAAAGTAATTATCAGTGAATATTTCGAAAGTAGTGTCATCTGTGAATAAAACGATATAGTCGTTTCATATCCTCCTTGAAACCGTACAACTTTTGTTTGAAACATTTTTTTCTAAAATTCTCAGTTTTCGAGATATTTCGCCGTCCCAGTATTTTTTATGCACCCTGTATATATATATATACAGGGTGTATAAAAAATACCGGGATGATGAAATATCAGAAAAACTAAGCATTTTAGAAAAAAATTTTTCGGATGGAAATTATAAGGTTTCAAAAGATCTATTTACTGAGTTTATTATTATGAGTTTGACCTTGGGTGGTATCGCCAAGGTCAGGACAAGGTCACTTTAAATTTTTTGAATGGGACCCCATATTTTTGATTGCATATTCTTGTAGCCCTTCAGAGAGACTTTTTCAAAGCATTATAATTTTTTCTATTTTGAGTAAGCCGTTTCGAAGTTATCTTTTTATGATAAGATGTCCAGCCAACCAAGACAAGATCAAAGAAGTATTCAGCCAGCCAAGTCAAGATCCTTACAAAAGCGTTTGAGAATAATGTTAATCTCTAAAAGAAAAAGTAATAAGCTAGGAAACAAAAAGGTTTATCCAATAAACAGAAATGTGTATTAATTAGATAACAAAATCGATAATTCAATTAAAGAAAGAAAAATCAGTAAGAAAAGTAATTTATCTTTTCCGTATGAAACAACGCGTATCATGTACAAGTAATATCTTCTACTTCAAGTCAAATTCATTGCAATTGATTTGAAATGATTCGAAGGTGAATTTTAGTACTGTTATAAATTTAATACATTAGTATTATTTTAATATTACATGTGCTGAAATACAAGTCACGAAATTGCTCCAGCCGTTGGTTGAACATCTTATCATAAAAAGCTCAATAACTTCGAAACGGCTTACTTAAAGTGGAAAAAATTATAGTGCTTTGAAAAGGTCTGGAGAAAGACTACAAGAATATGCAATAAAAAATAGAGGATCCCATTTAAAAAATTCAAGATGACCTTGTCCTAACCTTGGCGACACCATCCAAGATCAAACTCATAATGTCAGTAAATAGATCTTTTGAAACTCTACAATTTTTATTTGAAAAATTTTTTATACACCCTGTATATATAGGGTGTACAAAAAGTATCGAAACCTCTTAATATCTCGGAAAATACGCATTTTAGAAAAAAATATTTCATACAAAGTTAATAGGATTTTTTAAGCGTATTATGGCAATATTATTATGACTTTGAATAGCGTTGTCAAGGTCACATAATGGTCATCTTAAATTTCTTAAATGAAATCCCCTATTTTTCATTACATATTCTTGTAGCTTATCTCGAGAGCTTTCCAAAACACTATAATTAAATATTTTTTCGTTATTATTCGACGACGGAGTTTGTTAAAATTCTGAGGTTAGGTTCTCACAAACTTCAATTCAGTTTGTAATTTTAGGTACGAACTCGATCAAGATGAAATAGCATTAAATCGGCAAACAGAATAAGATTTTACAAAAGCGGTAGCGAACCAATGAGTAGTGATATCTCTGGATATAACAGTAATCTGAGCGGCGGAAACCTATGCATTAACAGTTTGATAATGTGCCAGTCTAATGTTAAAATTGGAAATAGGGTTTTCGCACACAAAAATGAAAATAGCAAAATCGACGGTGCATCTCACACACAGATACACACGTGCACACACGCATACACATATAGGCACACACAAAAGAGATGTAAATCCGACCATGCAAACTCCACGCAGTAATATTAATACCAGCAGTACTGCAACTTTTAAGTCTTCTAACTCGAAAAATACCTGACGAAAAAACATTTAATTATAATGCTTTGGAGAGCCCTCGAGATAAGCTACAAGAATATGTAATGAAGAATAGGGGGTTCCATTTAAGAAATTTAAGATGACCTTCATGTGACCTTGACAACGCTTAAGGTCATAATAATAATATCGCCATATAAATGCGCCTTATAAAACCCTACTAATTTTGTCTGAAACATTTTTTTCATTTGCCTAATATTTTTTGAGATATTTAAGGGAAACTTGATAACTGTTTCAATATTTAACTCACAATATCTCGCTAACTACTTGTCAGAAGAAAAAGTGGTACTAGACTTTTTTGTTCTATTTAATCTCAAGAATATATTGTTATAATAGCGCCCTGACTTTTATTACTGACTTACTGACTTTTGGAAATTTCAAAATCATCAAATTAATTTGATGATTACAAAAACATAGATACACATAAGAATGTTTATATTGCTATATAGAAAAGTATTAAAATAATACATAAAATATATATAATAATATATAAAGTATCTCGGAATTTTATTGACTTTAAAAATGTATTGACTTTATCATAAGTTCCAGTACTGTTTTGCATTTTTCCAGTATTTTTGCATTTTTATATGTAGAATGGTCAGAGAAAACAATTATGTCTAAAAAAATCATTATTCTATTAAAAAATTTTTAAATGTTTTTAATATAATTTTAATGAAACAACTCCAAATTAAAAAATTTTTCTTTTATCAAAATGTATCTTCTTTTTGCTACCATATAATCTCTAAAAAGAACAATCGATATCTCACTTAGTTTAAAAGATTACAGTAAATTGATTACGATGGGAGTGTCCCGTATATATTAAATTTGTATAGCTACTGATTAAATCAAACTTTTTATTCTGCCAATCCATCCTCTTAATAGATAACAAGATCACGTATTTCTTTATCAATATCTTATCAAAAAATAAAATAATTTATCAGATTATGATTTATCTAACGCGATGACAATAATAAATTAGCGTTTTAATTACGCAGATTAAATTACAATAATATCATTATAATGACAATCTTTTTTATTAATTTATATACAGCATGTTTAAAAAAGGATTAGCTAGAAGTAGAACGGTCTCGAGAGGTACGTATTTTAGTGATGTTATTTTTTTTCTAGATGGAAGTGCCAAAAAGATATGAAGATCAT